TACTTTTTTAAAGCCCAGTGAAGGCTACGCTTCRTGTTTTAATCCCAGAGTCCTTTAACCGTTCAGAATCCCATCCACTTCTTCCCCTTCTCTCCATCCCTTCAGGCCTTCAGGCTTCATTGGCTTTGTCCTCCATGGAGCGGGAGGGAGCGTGGAGGGGCCGCCTAGGGGCATCTCTGAGATCCTCCAGGGCAGGGGAGGTCTGCAGACACCCCTGGGAGGAACAGGGAGCCTTCAGGCTGGGTGTGATCCCAGGTGCCACAGCCTCTGGGTGGGTGGCTGGGAGGGTCTTCCCCAGTCTCCTCTGACTTCTGGCACCACACGGGGTCCCCTGGGTCTCCCTGTACCTCCAAGGTCCTCTTTCCTCACTGCTGCACCTCACAGCCTTAGGCTGACTCCAGGTGACACAGAAGCAGGCGCTTTCTGACCCGGGGGTGTTGTGCGGCCCTCTCTGTCCCAGTGCCAGCTCCTGGTTCACACGGGCAGTGTTTCTAAAACATGGTGGGATCTGCTGCGATTTTGCCAGGAGCSCTTTAAGACAGGATCCAGATGCAGAAGCCGAGAGCCAGGACATGACGCCTGGGCCTTCTAGCCTTCTGGGCCTTGCCACTTGCTGCTGGTTACCCTAGTCCCAGCCCTGGCTCTGGCCCTTTTCTCTCTGGGCTTTGCTTAGGCTCCTGTCCAGTGGGACACCTTGCTCAGCCCCAGGAGGGCATCAGGTTGTGCCCCAGAGCAGTCCCTGCCACACTGTCATGATGCCATCACTCTGCCTGTGTCGAGAGTCCTTCCCTGGCAGCTCGGCCGTGCTGCTGGTGATGGTCAGGAAGCTGTCCCGGGCCCTACAAGCTAAGCACAGACGGTGGGAAGGCGTGTTGGGCGCGGCTGTAGTGAGCTTTTGCATTGCTGCAGTCAAAAGGCCTGACGAACAATTTTAGGAGGAAGAGTTTATCTGGGGCCCAGTTTCCAAGGTCTCAGTCCATAGAAGGTAGACTCCATTGCTCTGTGCCCAGAGGTGAGGCAGAGCATCAGAGGCAGAGGGTGTGGCAGAGGAGAGACCTACGGAGACTAATCTGGACTCACCTAGGAAAAAACACCTACCCCAAGACTCAACCCCAGCAACCCCCCTCCTCAGCCACACCCCGCCTGCCTGCAGTCCCCCAGTTAATCCATAACAGGGGATCAATGCACTGATGAGGTGAAGGCTCTCATAGCCCAGTCACTTCACCTCCAGTCTCCCCTGCATTGCGCACACATGGGCCGACATCAGGGCCATGGGGCACGACGGGGACCTCAAGCGAGCAATTTTTTTTTTTTTTTTAAATACAAGAGTCAGTCCAGGAGGGTTTTGTCCAGCACCAGCATGGGGCACACGAGCCCTGAGAGTGCCTGCCTGCCAGTCCGTACCCAGGTGGCCCCGTCTTCCCCCAAGCTTTGCGGGTGTCTCCTCGGCGGGCCTGACGTGATTCCTTGTTCACAGGATGACTTGGCCTCATCAGGCGCCCTCCTGGTCATTCAGAGCGGTCAGTGTCCCTCGTGCTCTGCCTGCTGTCTTGCTGCTGTCGACGGGGTCTGAGCAGGATGGACGTGTGGCCAGAGCTCTGGGTGGGTTTTCGTTCTGGCCTCTCAAGCTTGAGCTGTGTGCTCCTGAAGGCAAGCCTGGGTCACGCACAGGGTTGTGCCAGTGTGGTGGCTGCAGTCGGGCAGAGTCCCCGTTCCTGTGCTTCCAGTGCCTCGTCTCCACCGGCGTCGTGGGGTGGGGAGAGATCTCACGGTGGGGTCTGCAGCGACCTGAAGTCGTATTGAGTTACAAATCGATCGTCTTCCTAAATTGTGAAGTCAGGGGACAGTCTGCGTGATTGACCTGCTGTGGAGCTTGGCTGGCTCGTGTCATCGCGGGAGTTTGTTCATCTCATCGACACCAGGTCATGTTCCTTAAAGCACAGGGGCTGGGCTTTAGCCTCTCAGTGCCATTATCCTCAAGGACAGGGCAGACATTGGCCAAAGGCGTCCCGAGGAGGCCCCTCCGTGGGCGGGTATCATGTGCTGAGGTGGTGAGCCCACAAAGGTCTAGGCCAGTCCCAAGCAAGCTCCCCTGTAGGGGCTCGGGCAGGCAGGCAGGCAGGCAGGCTGGTGTGGGGTGCAGGTGCCCCAACTCCCCTGCTCACCRCAGGTCCACGCTGAGAGCAGCCATGGTCACCGACCCCACCCCTCTTGGTCACCTGCTGGTGTCAAACAGATACTCACAGCACCCACACACCCTCTCACAGGCTGTGGGCAGGGGCGCAGCCTCAGAGCATTCTCTGCTGGGGATCTCATGGGCTGTAGTCATGTCGGCCCAGCTGGGTCTTTCTGGAGCTTGGGATCCTCTTCCAAGCTCCCCTGGTGTTTGGCAGAACTCAGTTCCTTGTGGTTATAGGACTGAGGTCCCCTGTTCTTGCTGGCTGTCACCTGGGGGCTGCTCAACTCTTGGAAGCTGCCATCCCTCACTGTCCCCCCCCCCCCCAGGCAGCTTGCTTTCTCCAGGCCAGTGGGAGGCTCTATGACCTCTAGATCTCTTTTAGAGGGCTCACCTGATTAGGGCAAGCCCACCAAACAGCCTCCCAGTTGCTCAGCTTAGAGTCCACTGGTGAGGAGCCTGATCACTGTGTGACTCCGTTTGCCACATAATATAGCTTCAACATAGCACCAGCCACGAGGCATGTACACGGGGAGCAGGCATCTTGGAGACCCCCCACAATCCTGGTGCCTGCACCTCTCATTCCTTCTGCCCGCCTGGTGGCCCAGTCCTTCCAGCCCTCTCTTCTTTCTTAGAGACTCACTCCGCTGCTCCCCTTCTTCCCACGACCCCTTTCCTCTCCATAGACCCCCTCCCTGTTCCCCCCCTCCCCCCCGCCAGCCAGGGTCCAAGGCTGCTGCCAATACTCTTGCCTAGAGCTGGGGGTGCAGCTCAGTGGTGGCGCTCCCACGCGGCATGCAGGGCCCCCGGTCCATCCCCAGTGCACGAAATGAATTCGTTAATTTTTAAAAGTCTTGCTAGGTCTCTGCCAGCTTAGGGATGGCCAGCAGGCGCTGCCTCCCCTAGGGAGGTGGCCACACTGGGTGTGAACTCTGACACTTTGCTGTGGGTGTGGATGGTTATCTGCCTAATGAGCCTGCTGCTGCCACCACTGCTGCCGCCTCGCCTCCTCCTCCTCCTCCTCCTCCTCCTCCTCCTCCTCCTCCTCCTCCTCCTCTTCTGTAGCCTCTTTTTATAGACCCCAGAGGTCATTTACAAACTGTAACATGACCTAGAACGTTGAAAGTGGTGACAAAGAGTCAGATTCCAATGCAGTTGTGGTTTGGGGCACCCCTTGATTAGAAAGGCTTGGGCTTGGACTGACCAAGGAACCACCTGAAAGGAGCCCGTATAGAGTCAGTTCCTCGGGAGGACCCAAGCCAGCTGACTCCGCAGAGGCTCAATGTGCTCATTCAGAGAGGATGAGTGTGTGATACGAATCAAGTGTGGTGGGGCGGTGGCGCTGGGGAACTGGGAGCCAAGCACTGGCTCCTGTGCTGCTGGTGGCCCTGGGGCCACACTGCTGGGCTTCTAGCTATCTCTGAAGGCCATTTAGGATTATCTAGGGAACAGTTTTAGAGTCATTAGGGAATGATTTTTAGGATTGTCTAGGAACAGTCGGGATTGTCTAGAGACAGGGTTATCTAGGGAACAGGGGGACAATTGAACACTTCCATAGAATGTGGGTGGAAGAATTACAGGTGCGTAACAAAAGAAAGAGGACAAGAGGAAGGAAGGTGGGTTTGTTTGAGCCCAGAAGCTCTGTCCTTCCCTCCCTGGTGGCTCTGTTGCAGGAAGTAGGCATAAGCAGGAGATTTGTGAAACAGGAGGCCACGGTCATGGCCACTCCCACAGCTGACTGGTCAGGCACGTTTTATGCTCTCAGGTGGAACATGGCAGAACCACCACAGCTTGAAAGGTTGAGACACAGGGTGGATTTGTTTAGGGGGAAGGGCTGACTAACAGCTGGAGTCCTTCCACCCTGCTCCGTGGCCGCTGTCAGGGAAGATGAGCCATCACACTACCTAGGCGGGTGACGAGTGGGGTCACCTCTCAGCACTGGAGATGGGGGACCCTAGCTGGGGTCTGGCAGCCTCTCCAGATCCCATTCCTGCTCTGTAAAGGGGGAGGTGCCAGGGGACCTGCAGGAGCTCCGAGTGGTGCCTGCTGGCTCTCAGTCAGGGTCAGTGGAGGGAGGCTGTGGTCATCATAGTCACCCCTACTGACCTGGGGAAATATGTGCCAAGCCCCCTGTGGATGCCTGGAACTACAGGTGGTGCCAACTCCTATGGATGGTTTTTTCCTCTGTATCTATGATAAAACTTAATTTCTAAATTATAAGACTGTAAAAACAGAAACTCACTATAGATATCAGCAACCTCAGCCTATGATTCGTTTTCTTTTTTAAGTCGGGAATTTTTACCTTTTTGTATAGTGAGCACTTTACAGCTTCTCTTTGACATGTTTAAATTGCCAGCATCACTACTCTGGTGACTTGGGGCTCTTACTAAGTAAAATAAGGGTTCCTTGAACACAGTCATTGTGATATTACCCAACCTGATGGCTACCAAGTGACTAACTGGCAGGTAGTGTATAAAGTGTGGATACTCTGGGCAAAGGGATGACTCACATACTGAGAAGATGAAACAGGACAGTGTGAGGTTTCATCACACACTGCTCAGAATGGTGCTCAATTTAAAACTTATAAACTATTTATTTCTGGAATTTTTGAACTTCACTGAACCGCAGGAAACTAAAAACACAGAATATGAATCTGTGGGAAAGGGGTGCACTGTACTGTAACTACCGTTGTTACCACTCTCAATGACTCTTTACCTCCTGTAAGTTGGTGGTTCATTGCTGTATGCACAAGACTCATTGTTAACCAGGTATTTGGAAGGTGCAACTGATTTATTCTCTAATAAGGTTTCTGGGTTTCTTTCAGGCGGAGGCCAGGCTTGCAGCAAAGCGTGCGGCCCGTGCTGAGGCTCGAGAGATCCGGATGAAGGAGCTGGAGCGGCAGCAGAAGGAGGTGAAGTGGGGGTTCTTGGTTGACTCCTTCATGGTAGTTTTAATGTAGGCACAGTGTGTAAATGCAGGGCACCTGTCGCTGCTGACCACCTGTCCCTTCCCATGGCTCTTGGTTGGAAGGCAGTTATGCAAGTCCAGGAAGGAGTGTGCAGAGCGCGGATGCCTGGCATGCCTGCTGCCAGCACAGGGCCTGGTGCATCCTGAGACCAGCTGACCAGTCACTTGCCTGCAGAGTCTTCCCAGCCCTGATTTCTGGCTGAGAGGAGCCAAAAGGAGATGGCTCTGAACTTTCAGGCCTAACTATTGAACTAGGCTCTAGATCCTCTGACAGGTCAGTTTTGCTTAACTGGGCAGCTTGGTTCCCATGCAGCCCTTTCCCCTGGGTCTCTCAGTGTTACCTAGTGGTCCAGAGCACAGAGTGAACATCGTGGTCAAAGTGGCCATGCCAGAACTGCCCTCTGGGAACAGGGACGGTGGTGTGTTTACACACCAGGTCTTGCCGCCTGCTGCTGGTTTGSACTCTGCCCAGCCAGGGCCAGAAGTCATTCCTGACCTATGTGGGGTCATCACTCACGCTAAGGGATGAGGCACTCTGGCCCCACCCCAAAGGGCTATTCCTGTTGAGATCCAAATGTGTGGTGCTGGACACAGGTGACCATCGCCTGCCTGGGCTGGTTTCCGTGCCCAGGTTCTGGTTTGGCTCACGGGGCCGGTGTTCAAGGCCTCTGAGATTTCCAGTGGAAGCCGGGATTTCTGGTTCTCCTTGGACTGTTGCAGATTTGGCCACCTCCCAACAGGGACCAAGCTGGTCACATGGCTCTTGGCCTGGCCTCCAGCCTGAGGAGGGCTGCCCACCGCCCCCCGCACCACCCGCGGAGTTTGTCGCTCCCCGTGGACATGTGTGAGCAGAGGCGGGATGTGGCCAGATGCACATTTGGGGAAGAAAATCCTTCCAGGAAGTGTGAGAACGGTTGCAGAGTACTGGAAGCCCAAGCCCAAGGGGTTTCTTCCCCAGACGGGAAGGGAGGGCAGGCCCCAGGGGAGCCCGGCTCGGCAGGGACGCTGAGAATGGGCTCCTCAGAGATAGGCCAGGAGTCCTGTGCAGGGACAGGGAGCAGTAGCCACGCCTCACCCACATTCCAAGGGGTGCTGGCCCTATGCTGACATGGGCCTGAGTGACCAGTGGCCAAGGGTGGCCCGAGTCTTCCTGCGTGGGCGTGAGAACTGTGGTCCTGAGCTGGGGTCAGAGTTCAGCACTCAGCTCCTCGGGCTCTTGCCCTGGTTCACTCCCAGCAGCACAGGGCAGAGTACTGGCAGCATCTCTCTCCCCTCAGATCATTCATCACTCTACAACCAAAAACAGGTACTCCTGAACGTTCAATTATTTGAACTTTACAGTTGAACCACGACCTTACAGACAGCCCCGCCAGGCTCAGGTCCACGCACTCCTGGGTGGGGCCTGACCAGGAGGGATTCCCCAAGGGCCCTCCAGAAACTGTAGAGAAGAAGCATTCAGCGTGGGAAGGGGAGAGAGGAAGAGGCCGTGCTGCTCTGTGAGCCACTGTCACAACTTCTGAGACGGGATCCCCAGGCCCTGGGCCCATTCCAAACTAGTTCTCTTGTTCTGAACTGGTTTTTAAAAATGTGTTTTTTAAACTGCCTCATGTTGATGTCTCTACAGAACATTTTTGCTTGCTCAGTAGATGGTCGCAAGCCCACCGTGCAGGGGGACACTGCTAGTCCCTCCCGTGGTGTTGGGAGGCTCATGGCAGCTGGCTGTAGGCAGGTGTCTCAGTGGGCTACAGGTTCCCTTGCTCTTCTTTTCTGTGTGGGGGGTGGGTGCTGGGAATTGGACCAGGGTGCTCCACCAGGGAGCTGGATCCCCAGGCCTCTTTATTTTTCTTTTGAGATGGGGTCTTGCTAAGGCTGGCCTGGATCTCACGGTGCTCCTCCTCAGCCTCCCCAGTTCCTGGGATCACAGGTGCCAGGGCCACCGTACCCAGCGGGGCCTCCCTTTCTTGGGCCGAGTCAGTTTTCAGCTTCCTTCTCCAGGAGCCCTGTGGAAGCCAGCCCCTGTCACTGTGGCCAGGACCCCGCTCCAAGGCTCATCCAGTTTTAGACCGCTTCCCCTGGTCTCCCACAGTCCCCTGGTCTATTTTTTATTAAGGTCATCTAAAAGCTATAAGAAGAATTTCCAAAAATGTTCTGTTGCTCTGACAGTTGACCATACTTGTCCCCTACCTGTCACTGCTTGTAGCCTGTGGCCGTCATCTGAGCTGCATTGTTAGAGCCAAACCAAGGATTCTGCACAAGTAGAGGCCAGTGCTGCAGGTGGGACCCCGTGCGCTCACCACAGTGTTTGTGACCATGTCCTCATGAGTGACTCCCACCAAGAGTGTAAATATGCAATTCTACAAAGCCAATGTTTTTTATTTTTTTGCTGCTATGACCAAAAGACCTGACAAGAACAGTTTTAGAGGAGGAAAAGTTTATTTGGGGAGTATGGGTTCAAAAGTCTTAGTTCATAGATGGCCAACTCCATCAGGACAGAAGATTGAAGTGGAAGGAGGAGGCTCCGGACATGATAATCAAGAAGCAGACCCCGCTGGTCAGATACAAAATATAAACCCCAAAGGCATGCCCCCAGAAACCCTCCTGCAGCCACACCCCACCTGCCTGCACTTAYCACTCAGGTAGACCCACTCTGGATTATTCACTGAGTGGGTTAAGGCTCTCATAACCCGGCCATTCCACCTGTAAGCCCTCTTGCCCTGTCTCACACAGGAGCTTTTGGGGGACAGCTCATATGCAAACTATCAGAGTCAAGGTGAAAGTGAACTACAGAGTGGTGTATACATGTCTATCTTCCAAATTAAGCACACATCTAGATAGGATATATTCTGTCTTTAATGCTGGACAGAATGCATGATGAYGTTACAAAGTTCTTGGTACAGTTGCCTGTCAGCACGCCCGTGTCCGCTGCAAAGCAGGGCAGAGCGAGCCACATCCTCCTCTTGTGCTCTGAGTGAAAGGTGTCTCCTTGGTGCCAGGTTCAAGGCACAGTCCAACAATGTGGTGGACACCTGTGGCAGCTAGAGTGGCCCAGAGAGAGAAGCGGCACTGTCCATGCACCTGCTTCTCATTGACCCCCCTCTGGGGTGCACATGTCTTTATGTGCACAGCTGTGTACACATCTGGAGGGACAACGGGAGCAGCTAACAGGCCTGAACATGTGGCCTGGACACTGAAGACACCTCCGCAGACTGCTGTGCCTGGCCTGTCCAGGGGCCTGGCTATTATTAGAACTAGCACACAATTTGAGCTTATACCACCTGATAGCCTGGGGCACTGGCATTTTAAGTTGTTGATTAAGGGGAAATGAATATGCTTTGGAAGACCAGTGTTTAACCAGGAGGGTTGATATTTGGTGTAAAATTTGAGAAACATGATCCTTGTCTGCTTGTGCCCCCTGCCGCTGCTGAGCTGTTAGCTCTCTCTGAGAAGGGGGCTGGACACAGGAGGCCCAGAGGAGGAGCAGGAAGACCTAGGAGGGCGGGGCCCTTGCCCTGACCCAGGAGGACTTGCAGAGTGTGCAGCAAGGAGCAAAGCGCAGGGTGGCATGCGCCCTCCTCTGGATGCCCGCCGGCTCTTCTCACAGTGCCACTTTCCTGAGCTGGGCTTTGGGGCTGTTTACAGAGGTAGGAACTCCTTTTTTAATGGGCATGTAAGAGGAGAATAGCAGGAAGACATCGTCTTGGAGATGGCAGTGAACCTTGAACCTCACGGGAGAGCCTGCACTGGTGGAAGGGTGGCYCAGGGCGTGTCCTTCGAGGTCCTGCCTTCACACCTGGTCGGAGGACTGTTTCGGGGCAGCATTGGTGTGCTCGCCTGTGCTCTCCTGTATGCCCTCAGAATTTGGACCATGCCTGGAACCATGGCAGATGCCAGGTGCCTTGTGGAGTGAGTGCGGAGGACACTGCACTGGTGTCACTGAAGATCAGGAGGAGCCCCGGAGCAAACCGACAGCCCAGAGGGCGATCACAACCTCTCTTTAAATATTCTAATTCCATTCTAACGGTCACTGTGTTTTGCTGGAWTTTTTCTGGTGTTCTCTGTGTGTTAGCATGAATCATTGAAGCCTCTTTCTTCATTATTTGTGAATTTTCCCAGTTGATTTTATTATTAAGTGTTTACAATTTCTGGCTAAACTTTCATGACTACAAAAGAGAATTTAATTTCGATACAGGTGAAAAAGTACTTTTCCCATTAATGGTAACAGGTTGCACACACTTCCGTGTAAGAACAACCGTGGGAGTCTAGTAGACTGGCGTGGGTAAGCCTGGGTTTCGCCAGTGTGTCTAAAACAATGTAGAATGAGTGCTAAAGTGACCAGTTCTTTCAATGAGATTTCAACCTTTTTTGATTCGTATTTTACCAGCCTTGGTTCTTCCCAGGATGGCTTTTATTCACATTTCTGGTTCCTTACAGCCTTTCTGACGTTCCTGCTGCTTTAATGGGACTTACGCTCTTTCCCTCTCTTTTGTCCCTCTCTGTAGATCTATCAGGTTCAAAAGGTAGGCCGTCCCCTGGCTGATGGCATGCGCTGTGTCCCGCCCGCCTGCTCCCCTGCCAGCGGTCACGCTTGGCCCTGAAGCTCCTGTGGCTCTCGCTGTGTGTTGGCGTTGGAGTGAGAGTGCTTTGGGTCCCCGTCCACCGTGGACAGCTGTGCTTGCACTTTTCTGGGTACTGAGCCCTTCTTTCTTCTCCATTTTTCCTCAAGAAATTAGAAAACTGTATCTTAGAGAAAAACATGAATCCTAACTCAAAATCACATTTTAAAATCTGAGGGAACCTCTGAAATCACCTGGATTATCTTTCCAGACAACTTTATTAGAAAACCTTTAAACATCCCTGCAAGTTACCACGCGTGGAGGGATCACTAGATCCTGACTTTAAAATCTGAGTGAAAAAGAAAGTGAAGAGGGCGCCACCTAAAGCCCAGCTAACAGAGACCTGTCCCCACGTCCCGGGTCAGGGTCCCAGGGACTCGCCTCCCTGTCCCTGGTGTTGTGTGGAAGCAACTGGGTCTTCAAGTAGGTACCAGAGAGAAAATAAAGGCAGGACACCCTGTCCGCGATTTAGGGTTCAGAAGTAGCGGAATGAGGAGCGACCTGCTCAGGGAATCCGCGGACGGCAAGTCCTTCCCATGAAAGAGGGGAGTCTGTTACTTAGAACCTCATCTACAATAGTTTCTGACTCTAGTTAAAGAAGAATAACTGTATCTTTCTCTTAGAGCAGATAAGAAAATCACAATAAAGGGCTGGGGTTGTGGCTCAGTGGTAGAGCACTCGCTGGCCCATGTGAGGCCCTGGGTTCCATCCTCAGCACCACATAAAGATAAATAAATAAAGGTGTTGTGTCCATCTACAACTACAAATAAATAAGATAAAGCCATTGTGTTCATCTACAACTAAAACATTTTTTAAAAAATCAGAATAAGGTCGCTGAGTTTCAGAGGTGAGTGCATGAGGCCTGATAAAGGCACTGCCGTGGTATCCGGGCCTGCCGTGCAGGATTCCTCTGCTCGCCCAGGTTCTGGGTGCCTTCCGGGCCCTCGCTCTGCCTGTCTGCTGCCCTGCAGAGGACAGAGAAACCCGCTTTGTAGACACCAGAATCTGCTTGCACTGTTAGGTTCTCCAGTGTCCAAGTATTGAAGTGGACATTGAAGCCCGGGTTCCAAGTCAGCATTAGAATCAGAATTCCCTGGTTCGAGGGAAGCTGGGAGCCCTCACTGTCACTGTAGGAGCAGGACATTGCTGCCCCAAACCCAGCCAGAGGCTTGGCTGGTCGCTCCACTGAGGTCTGTTCCTTCCCTGCTCTGCACACTGGGGTACCAGGACTGCTGGTGAGGACGCTGTCAGAGGTGACACTGTGTGCGGCAGGAGCTAAGACCCCGCAGGCCCCGGAAGGAGCACGCATAGTTCTGTAGTGAGTGTGTCCCCAGGAAGGGAAGGCGTTCCTTGTCACTCAGAGTGATGAAGAGGAAAGGGAGACGGTCACCAGTCTCTCCTGGCCCAGGGGCTGATGGGCATGATGGCTCCCTGGCCCGGAGCCCTTTCTGAAGGTCTCTCGCCTCCCTCTGCATGGCTCACTGCTGGTGGTGAGGCTTGCATTCGAAGTACTCTGCACTCCCTGGGGTGTGCTGTGAGCCACTTGCTGCCCTCACCAGGGCTACCGTCCAGTGGCACTGGGTGCTCTGGGGTGTCTAGGCTGACCTGCAGTGAGGCAGCTGTCAATAAGGCCACCTGGGAGCTAGGGGAAAGACTTTGAATGCTGGTTCTCACTCTTATCATTAAAAAGGAATTAGGTGTAGTGTAATGTTTGATGTAAGTATAGAGTGGGACAAAAGAAAAATAAGGAAATAGAAAAATTGGCAGTATAGACTTCCTGTGAAGTTTAATGTGAACTTCTCTCTGTTTTAAAAACATGCATTTTCCTGCCGACTTCACAATTGGAAGGGGAGATTAAGGTACAAGAGGTGTGGAGGCACCTGTTCATCCTGCAGGTCCACAGCAAGGGCAGAGTGAACTGGCTGCAAGGCAGCTTTAAGATGGTGCCTTCACTGAAATTGAAGTTGAAACCTGACTTTGGAAAGTGTTCGCTTTTTTCCTTTTCTGAATTTATGCCTAAGGAGAGAGCTTACGGAGAGAGGCAGCCGTGTGGCTGATGGCATAGAGCTTGGTCTGGTGGCTTTTTAAAGGCATGGTTCAGTGCCCGCTCCTAGTTCCTTGTCTTCCAGTTTTCTCCATGGTGCCTCCTCTGAGAAAGGAGCAAGACCGTCGGAGAGCCACAGGTCACCTGGCCACCCTTCAAGATGCACCTGCGCCAGACCCGGCAGCAGTGTGTTGGGCAATTGGAAAACCATGACCAGTTACCTTGTACCTCTACATCCAATTCTTTTTTTCAGATTATAAGATTTTAATAATGTAAAAAGAAAAATCACTTCTGTTATATGTCTTAGAGGGTCGGTAGACTATTCCTTGATTTCCTTACTGAAAATTGAGGGGAAAGTATAGAAAAAAGCAAAACCCCATAATCTGAGGTGGAAATTTGAACACCTGAGTTCCCACCTGACTCTGGGGTCACTGTATTTAGTGACAGTGACACCCCTTCTGGACCTTCTCTTCTAAGGTAGAGACATGCGCCCTCAGCTCCAGCAAGCCCCAGACACAGTGGCAGGTCTGAGTGTTTCTCTTCCTGCACCAGGACTTCCTCTGAGGCACTGGGCGCCTTCCCGTGAGCAGGCTATAAAGTGTGTGACCCTCTGGGCCTGCGTCAGCACAGATGTCAGCTGGCACACAGGGGCTAGGACCCGGGGCCAGCACAGGGCCTCCCCTTTCCTCTGGGACCGCCTTCCTCCTGCACAACACGGAATGGCTCTCAGCGGTGCTTCTCCTCCACGGTGTCCCTTCCTCCTGCGTGTTGGCTCTGAAGGCATGCACAGCTTTCCAGGGGGGCTTGCAGTGCTTCCTGGTCTCAAGGCCGCCCCTCGGCCAGCAGTGCTTTGTCCTTGCTCCCTGGCCYGAGGGACGGAGTGGGCGGGGTCTCTTCACGCTCCACCTGCACCAGGTGGCCACGGCTTCCTCTCTGACCTCCTCACCTTGGCATGCTCCCTCCACCCTGCATGTCTGTTCGGTCTCCTGGGCCGTTTGTTTCACTTCTGGCCTAATTTTCCTTCTCTTCTGTCTGTAGAAATATTATGGACTGGACACAAAATGGGGCGACATCGAGCGGTGGATGGTAGGCCTCAAATACAATTTCAAGACTTAAATGGTTTATAATTTAATCCTCATGCAGTTAGGTTATGCAGATAGATTCCTGCTGCACCATAATCTGATACTGAGAGATTTCCCTTCAGGCGTTTCTGCATCTGGTCTAGGATTGTTTACCTCCATGTACATCCTGCCCAGGCACCACCCTGGCCACCCAGCCAGGCCCATCCGTCTGTACAGCTGACTGCTGCCGACTTCAGGCTACCCATGGGCAGGGTCCTTCACCACAGTCCCCACACGTCCTAGGGCCAGAGACTCAGGATGGGCACCTGTCCTTGACACGAGAACTTCCTGTTATCGTCAAGTTTTGCCATGATCCTGTTGGAACCAGAAGAGGCTTAAGACTTTTTGACTGTGGCCAGCTGCTGCCCTTCAGGGTCAGGTGGCCACACCCCACTCACATTGGTGAGAGAGGTCCTTTACCTTTTCTGTCTATTTCCTAGGACAGCCCCTCTGCCTTCCTGGGTCAGTTGAAAGTGAGCTCTGTCCTCTGGCCCTCTCTGCAGGAAGGGGACGCACCCCAGTGCTTTCAGTTGTCCCCAGAGCCAGGCTCTGCCCCTGTCATTAGCTCCTGTCCTGCCTGCGGGGCTGGCGGCCTCATGCTCCACCTGCTCCAGAGTTTGAGAACCTGGCCAGGGTGGACATGTCCTCTTCTGTCTTCCTCATGGATGAAGACAGTCAAGGGAAGCACAACATCCTCCCTTAGTCACCTGCATATGGCAGGAAAGAGAACTGAGCAAAGAGCACACCTTCCTGTTTCTAAAAAGTGGCTGACTTCCGCCTGGGTCACCCATCACGCTATCTAACTTCACACAGGTAGATGTGTTTTCATCACACCTTAAGACAGCTGAAAGACGTGTTAGTGTTTTGAATACCACTGAGAGAGAAAAGGTGCTCGTGGTAACTGTGAGCAGCTTTGATGATTAGACACACCCCAGCTTCAGAGATGTCCAAGATGGAAACTGGTGTCTGAGATTCCACAGAGTAGAAGAGACAGGTGACGTCCTCCTTGGGGTTTGGGGTTGACGGGTTGGTTTCTTGAGGAAATGATTCCTGCAGAAGAGTGAGGTTCTGAAGTGAGGGAAAGCCTAGGACCCGAGCATCGAGGTTAGAGAAACTCAGCCTTGACCTCTGCCCCGTGCTCACTGCCTTTGAAGCCAGAGTGAAGAGTGCCCTTGGTGGCTTGAGAGCCCGGCTCCTAGGAGGACGCCTTCCCAGGGCGTAGCTGAAGCCCTTCAGTGAACGCAAACAAAGTGTTATTTGCCAGTTAGATCAGAAAGTCTGTACCGTGCTGCTTCCCGGGCCTGTCTCTAACCTTTCCCTGCTGTCCCCGTTGCTGCGGTAGGAGGACAGTGAGCGCCAGTCTCGCAGATCCCGGAGGAGCACGTCGGTTAGTACCAGTTTGTTCGTTACCTGTGCTTTGCTCTTTTAGTGACTGAAGTACCCACGCTGCTTAGGAAAAGACTTTCCTAGTCCTGATATAATGCTGGAAGGGTTCCCGAGCAGACTGGGAACTCTGCCTGCAGCATTTTGACGTACCGCAGTGAGGAGGAGAGCTCTGAAGTTCGTGTGCACGGTATCCATGAATGATTTTCCTAGTAATGATACCCTGAGGTGTATTTATGACTTACCTGTGAGTGACCTGTGGTGTAAATAGCACCACATTAATGGAATTTACTTAAATTCATATTATCCATGACAATCCTGGGCAAGCAGAGGTGCACACAGCCCCTGTCACCAAAGCCCTGACTCAAGCCCCCGGCCCCTTCGGAGGCGGCCAGCCCACCCCACCGCTGTGGCCTCGGCTCAGCCTTGTCCCTCGGAGCCTGGGGCATCTGTCTTTGGGAGTTGTCTTATCACTTCACGGTGGTTTTCCATCCTTTCTTCCAACAGGCTTCTGATGAAGATGAGCGCATGTCCGTGGGTAGCCGCGGCAGCCTGAGGGTCAGTAACCGGAGCAATGGGGTCCGCATGCAGTGTGTGTGGCTGAATCCTGGGCTTGACATCCTGCCCTCGCCTCCTGCTCCCGCACGATGGCCCGCCAGTCGGTGTCTGACGGGGGGATGCTGGCTCAAGTCTGGTGGCTGCGGGGGTGTCTCCGCTGGGTGTCTGGCGCTTGTCCTGGGGGAGTGCTGGTGTGGTGGCTCCTGGGCCGGCTGCTCCCGGAGCGCAGCTGCCAGGTTTCAGTTGTTTCCCTTGCTCAGCGTTGTCTGGGCACTGCCAGGGTGACCAGCAGGAGTGTGAAGGCACCTGCAGTCCTTGGGCAGGTCTGTGAGTCCACTCACACACCCCTGGAAGTGGCCGCCTTGGTCACAGTGGTGTGAGTTCGTCTGATTCCGTGCTGGTCCCGTGGCAGCAGGGGGTGCCTGGAGGAAGGGCTAGACCCAGGTTTGCCCTCGGGACCCCTCCTCTCATCAGCTAGGATGCTGAAAACAGTGGTTTCTCCTTGACTTTCCAAAGGCCTCATGGGTGCACCTGACGCGGGGTGCACTCTGGGACACAGGCAGGGGCACGGTCCTGCTTAGTACATCAGCCTGAGCATCTTGCTCCCATTCACGTGGGTTGAAGGCGTGTCTCCCACTAGCAAGGAGGACTGCAGGGTTGAAGGCGCGTCTCCTGCTAGTGAGGAGGGCTGGTCCCAGGACAGCAGGTCCGTTTTGCCAATGAGCTGCCTGAGTGGGAACCTTGCTTTTCAAAGCTGTGACAGTGATGTCACCAAGCCACCCCTGGGCCAGGCATTGTGCTGTTGAACCACCATTGCTGTCACTGTCTCTTCAGTGGCAAACGCGGGTCCCCTATGATCTTGCCCTGAAGCAACTGAAGTGCCCCTTTGCTATTTGGAACTAGCTAACAGTTGTAAGTCCCTCATGGTGCCTCTGACACAGTCCACTGTAGACAAGGAAGATCTGTGTGACCAAAATGCCGTAGATGCAAAGTTTGTGAGCCGAGCCTGTGGCCAGGACACAGACGTGGCAGCTGCGGAGCAGACCCAGCAGGCCAGGGCCGGACACCAGGTGGGGAGGCACAGCTGCAGGGCCAGGGGAGCGGCTTGCTGAGGGCGGAGCAGAGACATTGGGTGTAGCATCCTGATTCTGCCAAGAGAACCGTTGAGAAAGGAGTGGTGAGAGCAAAGCTGAACTGTCAGGGATAAGAGAGATTGGGGGCGGGTAGCGGATCCAAACTTCTGTTGGAGTGCAGTGTCTTCAGATCTGTGATCCTGAGAGAGTGCGTGAGACACTGTGCACACTTAGTTTTTCTGGGAAAAGAATTTCCACTTTTCTGAGACTCTCAGAGGGTTCTCTGACCCCAGAGGGTGTGACCGATGGCAGTGCTGGTGAGCATTGCGGTGTCACGCGGCCTTCATTTTGCTTCCAGCCACCTTTGCCAGGAATGAACTAAGTCTCTCTGCGGACGCTGTTCCTGGCCAAGGTATGGGGTGTATTTGTCTCCGGGTAGGAAGCCTCATGAGGAGTCCACAGTTAGAGTGCTGTCTGGGGGAGAGGGGAGTGGGGGGTTGTCACCCAGCCAGGTGGCGGCCCTCTTCCCCTCAGAACTTCAGTCCCGCAGCACCTGAGGCTGTGGACCTGGAGATGAGAGCCCGTCCCCCTGATGTTCACAGTAAGAGGCCTGCTCAGGGTCTCAGCCCTCAGTGATAGCCCCAGCTCCCCTCCCCTGGGGCCTGGTGGGAGGTGCAGGCCATGTGCCAAGAGCCCCTGAACTCTGACCTCTGCATGAGACCTACTTAGGCTGGCTTCATGCATGTTAATATTCTGAAATCTTTTCTTGCATTTTAATATTCTGAAAAATTTTCTGTGTAAGATTATATCTTTTATTTCTCAACCCCCCCAAACACAGGCTTTCCACATTCAGCCAATAGTGCTGTTGACCCTGAGAGGGCCCGGGGGCCTTGCTGTCCTGGGTCTGTGTGGATGGCCTCACGGAACAGCGAGACTTTGGATATCATGAGCTTTGCATCCCTCCGCCCCTTTACCTGGAGTGTGCGGTGCCGAGGGGAAAGGGCTGCTCAGGCTGTCTGTGAATCGTGGTGGCTGCCTTCATTCAGCCCCCTCCAGGGCTTTGGGTCCTGGGGGAATGGGGTTCTGTGTGGCCCTATTCCTCACAGAACTCTTTCAGAGGTGTATGGTCCTAGAGGTCGTGAGCCAACCTAGTCTGAGGTCTCAGCGATGTATTTTTCATGTTTCTCTCCTCTTTTGACTCACCTCCCCCCTCCTTGCCGTTGTTTTTCTTCCTTCCTTGTTCGGACAGTCGCAGCCTGACGTGGAGTACGGGGGTCCCTACGCCTGGGTAAGACACTTGTGTGGACTTTGCCGTGTGATCCTAACCGTGTGCTGTGACAGACAATAACCCGCCATGTTCCTGGAATCTCATGGGGTGACTTGGTGAAACACTGTGTGTGTCTTGTGCACCTACAATTCAGAGGATGAGGTTAGGAAGGTGGGTCCCCCTCCAGGGTCTGTGGTCCATCTCCTGGGGCCTCCTGATCCTTGCACGTGGCCCTGGAACCTGGATGTCTGTGCGCAGACACTCACCAGGTGTCTTCGAGGGCCACTGTCTGGCGCAGGCCCTGTGAGCAGCTCTGTGCATGCCAGACAGGYGGTCAGTGGGCGCCTTCAGGAAACTCACATCAGATCAGAGATTCCCCAGGCCTCAAATTTCCTTTAAAAGATTGCACGTAACATCATTTTGCCTGATTTTTAAAAAGCATTTGTTTCTGATCTACAGCCATCAAATCAAATGGACCATTTGGCTCTTCTGCAAAAAAATACTCCTTGAGAAAGACCCCAGTTCCAGTCACAAAAACAGAGGCTTTTGATTTAAACTTGGAATTGCTATTTTTACAAATCCGAGAGTTTCTGTGCCTTATGCTTTCTGAAAACCTGTAAACTTTATTCTTAGAAGAAGAAAAATTCAGTCTGACTAGAAAGCACAGCTCAGCCAAAAGTGATTTGGTACTGAAGTTAGCATATTAGACAGGAAATCACATTAAAGACATCATCTCAAAGCCTTTTGTGCTTATCTAWCACTACTTCATTTAAAAATTACTTGACACATTCCTGTTTTAGAACGTATTTTTGTATTTAAGGTAATGGTTAGGAACAAGAGCTGTGCCCTGCCCTGCGTGTTTGGTCCTCCCAGGGTCCCCAGTTCTGGGTGGAAGGGATGGCTGAGGAGGGCCATCTCCTGTGGCCACTGCAGCCATCCTGGCCTGGTGAGGTTGAGGCCAACTGGCTCCTTCAGGAAGCATCCCTCACAGAGCATCTGTCACTTACCTAYAGAGCCCTTCCGTAGTGCCCCTGTGTGGCAGTCCTTCTGTTCTCTAAGGAATTGAAAATATTGGCGACCTGTTTCTTTTATTTTTTTTAATATTTTATTTTTTAGTTGTAGTTGGACACAATACCTTTATTTATTTATTTTTATGTGGTGCTAAGGATCCAACCCAGGGCCTCGCACATGCTAGGCGAGCGCTCTATCATTGAGCCACATCCCCAGCCCCTTGGCAACCTGGTTTTAGGTGGCTCCTGGCCACCCTTTGTGTGCATTTTGCTTCCAGCCAGTCCTTGATGGGCGGGTGTGTAGGTGAGCTGGGTCAGGAGCGTGCTTTGGCTTTCACTTCCTAGTGCATCTCTTTTTAACATTAAAGCAGAGGCATCAAGCCTGCACTCGGAGTCTGGTTTTGCTTCCCTTCTCTGATGCCCTTCCAGAGTGCCTGTGGTATGCCTCATGTGGAAAGGGAGACACGGAGCATTGCTGCCACATGGAGCCCCCCAAGGCTTTGAGGATGGTGGTGGCTAGTGCTGCCTCATCACAGGTGACCGTTTGCAGGACAGTGACCCGTTCCTTGTCATCCTCTGCTGGACAGTGCTGGTCTGTGAGTGTCCTCTCCGGATTCCCTCCAGCAGTGTTCCTCTGTGTTGCTGCACCTGGAAGCTCCTTATAAAACCTGTGCTCCCGGGTCCTTGCAGCACTCCAGTTTCCTAGGTCAGGGCCTGTGTCCCTGAGAATTATGCCAGTGGCCGTGACACAGGTCGCCTTCAGACTGCCCTCTTGTAGCCTTGACCAGTGAATAGCATGCAGAAGTGGACACCACCCAGGAAGGAGAGAGAGACTTTGTCGAGCAGAACTAGAGACCTGATGTCAGGTGGCATTGATATGCTGCCTGTGGGCTCTTTATTGTCTTCTGGTCGACCTTTCTTACCATCATGCCCCATAAAGTAGCCCCACCACCCAAATGCACCATTCAAGAGGAGAGGGTGGTGGCGATCTGAAAGAAGGTCAGACTGCTTCTCACTACAGGGTCAGCGAGTCCCTGTAGATTTGGGGATGTGGAGGTACAGCGGATTAAGTCATTTGCTTAAGGGYTTCCGTTTCCAGTGACACCTCCTTCATCTTCATCAGGTGTGTGGATGGCTCCTCCTCTTTCTCCCTTTGGAGCTGGTTATGTCTCTGACGCTTGAGCTCTTACCTTGAATCAGCAGAAGTTTCCTTCTAGACTGATAGAGCCCTTCCTTATAGCCCTGCTTTTGCTCCAGACTTGGACAGGGAGACAAGGAGGAGGGGGAGAAGGCAGGCGCTTAACATGCTCGTCCTCTTTTACTCCTGGAGCACGGATTATGAGATCATTAGGGATGTGCTCAAGTCTCAAGATGAGACATGAAGTGGGAGGACTGGGAATGGGGAAGGAGTAGAGAAGATGTCGTCCACCAGCAACAGTTTTTCTTTGGTGAACTTTTGCATTTAATTGCAGATTGATTAGAAACAATTTCTGGATCTCATGAAGGTATTTCATACTAAGCTGTAATTTTCCAGAACTTACCCTGAACCAAGACCTGAAATCTCTGAGTCTGTGCCCCCCCACCCCTGCTTGGCAGCCAGCCCTCTCAATAGCTAGGATTTGCACAGCTCCCGCATAGAACTGGACCCCAGCATGTGTGCTTCCCTCCACTGTACACTGTAGGACCCAGAGTGACATGTGACACGAAGCCCATGACTTGATCAGCTCAGAGCTCTGTTTCCTCTGGGTTGCAAGGAGGCCATTTGGGGGCCACCAGGATTTGTGCTGCCCCAAGCTTGCCAACCATCCCCTGCACTAAGGAAACTCCGTCTAAACCTGGCTGATTTTCCCTGCTGTCAGTAGCCACATCCTCATTTATATACTGATGTTAATTTTTCTCTTTTCTTCATTGACACAGACCAATGGTTATGATGGAGAATTATATGGATCGCAGTCCCTGAGTAGAAGATCTGGCAGGGTCAGTACAGTCAACTTGCATGGCATGAAATTCAAGCAGGCTGCTTCAAAGCTTCTAAGACTTATTGCTAAATTCAGCTTTTTTCCTCTTTTTATATTATAGCAGGACTCTTCTTTTTCTAACACATGATAGAATGAAAGATAATGTTTTTCAACTGGTAAACATTCCCTTAATGTTATTATTCAACATTCTCAGGATGACTGATGTGGTAGGAGGTAGGTAAGAAGCTGATATTGATAGGACTCTCTTAAGTTTAACAATACCTAGAATTAAAGTCTCCCTCTTTCATTATCTTGAGGCCCTCGGTCCGTGTGTATAGTGTGTGTGGTGGTGTATTTGGCCTTCACCAACACTTAAGTCCAACGTCTTCCCAGTTCGCATTTCTTGTTTGTAGTTTTAATGTTTTTCTTTCACAAGAGCCTGTGTTTCCCTGGAAAGGAAAAGGAAGAGAACTAAATTGCAGTGTTTGGCTGCTCAGGGGTGAGGGTGGGAGGCAGAAGCAGAGGGCTGCTGAGGGGAGAGAAGTACAGGCTGCCGCAGGGGCGTGGGGGACATTTAGTCCCTGGGGATTTCGGAAGGTAAGCTGGGTACAGCTAATGAAGCCTCGTGAGCTGCCACAGGTCTCTTTTGTGTTAAGTGATCTAAAATGTTCTGTTCTTATTGTCAATTTTTAAAATTATGTTGAGATATTACAAACAAATTATATTTCTAGACTTCAAGTGGGTAACACAGAGCACCCCCACCCCCACCCCGCCCTACTAAACCAACACAGTCTCAGCTCTCCAAAACTGGCTGAACAGGTTGCTTTAGCCTTCTCCTGCCTGCTTAGGATTACAAGTGTCTTTATTGTATTTCCTCTAAGCTCTGCTCCTTGCAGACTTTGCATCCCTCTTGTGGCCCTTGCCTTGCGCTTCTCTAAAGGAGTGCAGAGCCCGGGACAGGAGCTGCCTGCTCTGCACAGCGGCCATGTTGACACCTTGCTGACTGGCTTCAGTGTCGCAGTCTTGCAGACTGTACTTCCTGGTGGCCACCAGACCACTACTCGGTGGAGTTTTATAGACTAGTTTGTAGCTTTCCCTCCTGATACGTTGTTTTACCATAAGTGGTCACCGAGAAGCGCAGTGTGGGCTTAGAAGTTACTTCAGAAGTTCTTTAGTGTAGCTTTTCCCAATGTTAGGTGGACCTGTGGGTCATCCCTAATGTAGCCAGCATGCCCATGACCATACAGGGTGACATCAAGCTCCACATTATGCAGATAATGACTTAGTTTAACCTTTGAGAAAGTAAAAATATGCATCATGATTAAGATTTAGATAAAGCCTGTAGAAATMAAATACAAAAGGATCTGTTTACAAAACTGCTCACAGAACGAAATTGGATGTAAAAACTGATTTTAAAAATAATCTGAAAGTAGAATGTTCGAAGAACAAAATAACCTCCCTGAGCCACTCTTTAGGAAGCTCCCAGAGCAGAGCTGCTGGAGCCGCGGAAGCATGAGCTTGGMGAAGAGTGAATGCGACGTCCACCCCGCCTGCAGGAGGGAATGATACCCGCTTCCTCCTGCAGGGGACCGCAGTCTCCCTAGCAGAACTGCTTGACCTTGACTCCTTCCTAGCCACATTCAGAACTGCACACGTCACCTCCCTCTCTGCATTCTGGAGGGATCTGATATTTTTAAAATGTGCTCAAGGGCTGGAGTGCGACTCGGTGGTAGAACACTTGCCTAGCATGTGTGAGGCCCTGAGTTCCCTCCCAGCACTGCAAAAATTAATAATAATTAAATGTACACTCAAGACATCATAAGGGCAGTTTCCTTCTATGGACAGAGGTCTCAGCTGGAGGGGGACGAGCCACCCCCTGAAGTTCCACCTGTCCTCAGGTGTGCTGGGCTGAAGAAAGTAAAAATCTTACAATAAGCAGGATTCCAGCTACCTTAGAAGATGTGATGAGGAAAGTTCAGACTGGGGGGTTGTAGGCAGTCTGGCATGAGATTTCGCAGGTGACGACATAGTAATAGGTCAGCTACCGGGCTCCGCGGAGAGGTTCCTGAAACATGAACTCTCCCGCTGCTGCACCAGCCATGCCAGCCTTCCTGGGCTGCTGGGGCCAGCTCTGTTTTATCTCTGCCTTGCGGAGGGGCCAGGCTGTGCTTCGGGACTTGAAGCAGGTACTCATCACTTAAAAATGTCTCCTTCTTTGGTGCTCAGAATTCCAGCTCTGGCGGTGACGGCAGATTCTCCACTTTGTCATCATGCAGGGAGGAGAAGTTGGTTGGTTTCCATTCAAATCTCTCACACCCTTTCTTCAGAGACTGCAGGTTTCATAGCATGCGCTGTGTGTGTGTGTGTGTGCACTCGGCTCTCCTTCTCTCTAACATGCCATGGATTCTCATTTGGATTGATGTTTTGTTAAACTTTTGCGGAGGGATTATCCTGAGATACTTCATTCAGACCACCTCAACTGTCTTGCCTTGGAGTGTGAATTGTGGTTCTCCATGGACTACCATGAAAGAACTTGCATTTTTTTTTGTAGACTTTTTAATTAGAACTCCTTGAGAGGAATATCTTGGCCTTCTTTCCTTGACAGTTCCTGAGCAATGTTATTTTATAGGGTCCTACACACTCCGTGGCAGTTTCTCAGCGCTGGACTAGACTCGGAATGAAAATCCGGTCCAATCCAGGCATTGTCACAAAGTTCCTGCTGCACACCGAGAGCTCAAGTTGACCCTGATCCTGGCAGACACAGCTCCTGGTTGCTGATCAGCCTATGAGCTGAGCTGCTGAGCCTCCTTTGATTTTTTTTTTTTACTGAATAGTAGATGAAATGTAAACACCGAAGTAGTATTACATTCATTCAGAAAACTTTATTTCCTTCTTCTTTTTGATGAGCTGGGGTACTTGTTCTAAAATAGAAGATGATCATGTATAACTAGGAAGAACCAATTATTAAAATTTTTTTCCAACTAAAAGCAAAAATAAAATAAAATGGAAGATAGTACTCGTCAGTTAACAGTTAGATGTGAAATTACCCACCCAAGTCCAGCCTGTGTCCAACTCACATTCATTTAACACAAGCAATCCAAGTCCAGAAGGTTAATGGTCAAAGTGAGAGCTGACCCATTCAGATGCAGAGTGCATCAGGACTTTCCGGAGGCCATGTGTCCCCATCCTGATGCACCTGGCTTTTACCCTCCCACCATCTGCCTGGTAGCTATTCTGTTCTGATGCAAGCCTCTATTCCTGCCCAACACATCAGCTTGGTTAATTTTACTTAAACGGACATGTCTCAACTATGGATAGGTCTCAACATGGGACAAAGGATTTACAACTCCTGGACTAACTTTTTAAGTCCCCCCCTCCCCGACCCTTTGATTTGGGTGAATCATTTTTGGGGGGAGTCGGTTAGTTTATGCAGTAGCATCCCCCTGTCCTGTAGTCTCTGAATTGTGCCACTTGGTTTATCACATCTTCTGTGAGTCCTGAGTGCATGCCATCATGTAAGTGCCAACCAAAGGAGTCAGCTGGGAGACCAGCCTTGCAGATTCCTGGCTTGGAATTCTTCCTACCAAACTCTAAAAATTAGAAGTCAAGTTACAAAGACTAAATCCTCTTGGGTCTTGTTAGCAATTAAAATCACATCTTTTTTTCCTCCTGTGTGTAGACTCCAAGGTTGGTCTCCATAGCGGCCGGCTCCTTTCACCGGCCCAGCCGCCCACTTCCTCCTGACCGTCTTCCTGCTCTGCCTCATTGGCACCTGCCCTGCACGGGTTGGCTGTGGGGGTGATTTTGTCTGAGTCGCTGACACCGAAGCACCTTTGAGATGCAGTGCAGGTGCAGGCTGTCCCCCTGTACCCACCACTTTCTCTGATTACAGGGACTCTCCTGTTCGGAACTTGGGCTTCCTGTTGGTGGCCTTGCTCACAAGCCCCTGTCTGCCCAGAATGGAAACCGGGTCTGTTCTCCTCTCCCATCACTTTCTCCCTCCTCTCCTCTGTGTGGCACTTAAGTTGCTGAAGTGTTGTTTCAGTGGATACTTCAACCTCTGATAGACGAAATCTGTGGAGCAGATCTCAGTGGGTGTTTTGATTGGCTCCAATATTTTGCTAAGACTTTTCTCAATCTTAAAAAAAAAAAAAAAAGCATCTGAAATAATTTAGGACCTAATACGGAAAAGTGGACTTCAGGAAAAGCAGAGTTCTATGAAATGTATATTTTTAAAAACTCAAGTCCAGAAAGTTAGTCTCTCGGGTCCCTCCATTTCCAGCAATTGTTCCCCCATTTGGAGTTTCAATTTGTTTTTTAAAAAATATTTTTCTTTTGTAAATGTGTCCAGGAAGCAATTTGGAAGATGTCTGTGCACCATTTGGCTCCGTGTTGGAGAGGTGGGCAGAGCAGAGTCATTTGTTTGGCTTTCTCTCCCTGTTTCCTGTTTTCACAAGGCCATGGGCAGGGCCAGCGGAGGGCCCTGGCCTTCCTGGCTGTAGGTTTACAAGTCCTGTTCCAAAGCAGAGGTCAGTGTCGGAAGTCCAAGTGCGCATCGTGTCTCAGAGGTTGAATTGTCCTCAGGTCTGCAGACATGAGCTGCTCAGTGGCCTGTGGCCGGTCACGACGGCTTTCCCCTGCTGGTCCAGCATGCCCACTGCTGTGAGCCTCTGAATGAGTCCCGACTCCCTGAAGCTAAATCTGTGTGCCCTGGTGAGCTGCTTTGTGCTCCAGAGTGTCCCCTCATGTGTGTTCCAGGTGTGGAGTCCCCTTTGTGCTCCAGAGTGTCCCCTCATGTGTGTTCCAGGTCTGGAGTCCCCTTTGTGCTCCAGAGTGTCCCCTCATGTCTGTTCCAGGTGTGGAGTCCCCTTTGACAGGACCTGTCAGCCCTGACCAGGGAAGCTGGCCTAGAGCTCCCTTTAGCGTGCCGAGGACTGTCACTGCTGTCCTCTGATAGAAGCCCCACGCTGTTCTGCTGCTCCCCTCACTGCAGTCACTTAGAGGCACCCCTCAGGACCTGGGGGGTTCCAGAACCCCCAATAGCAACCCCCACAGATGCTCAGGCCCTGGTATAAACTGCCGTGTGACTTGCATAGGACCTGTGCACAGTACCTGTGGTTCCTTATGGTGCCCAATACAGTGTGAATGTTGTCACACTGTGCTGTTTAGGGAACAGGGACAGGAAACTCTCTGTACGTGTGCAAGACAGGTACAGTTGTTTTTCCAGGTGTTTTCAATCCTCGGCAGGTTGAACTGTGGCAGGTGTGACCCTCAGTGCCAGGGCCAACCGCAGCAGGACCCCAGGGTGGTGTGGCACCCTGGTGGGGCTGTCGCCCTGCCGCAGTTCCTTCTCATTGCCGTCCTTTTTTCCAGAACTGCCTGAAGAAAAGTGAGTAGGAAATGCCTGCTGCAGACTCCGGGGGCCAAGGCCGAGAGGCCTCCCGGGTTTCCCCTCCCTGTGAATCCTAGATCTGCGCTCTGACCTGCCGAGACCCATGCCGGCCTGGCCTTCTTCCCTCTGACCATTGCTTTCTGTCACCATAACTGAGCCCTTAGGTGGCCTTGTCACTCCTCTCTTGCCGTCTTTTTCAAGGCTTTAAACACCTGCCATTTGCTTTCGTCCTCCAGCCCTGCTATCTGTCCAGCGCTGCCCGGCCTGCGGGGAGGTATCCGGTGCGTGTGCTCCCTGGGCGGCACCTCCTCGCCCCACCTGCTCGCCCCCCAATGCGTGTGCCCCTCCACCCACACACGTGCATGGGGTGGGGTGTTTTCCGCCCCACGGGGGATTGTGCCTTTACAGGAGCTTACGTGTGCCGTGGTGTCCGTCAGTCCCCCATGGTGTCCGTCAGTGCTCCGTGGCCAGATCAGAGTTTTCTCTCCCCGACTGCTGACAGTGGCCGTCAGACTGGTGTTGGGTAGGATCGTTGGTCAGGAATAGAGCAACGGCAGCATGTAGGTTTCCTGCTGGCAGAGAGGAAAATGGGTCTTTAGTGCCTTGGCAACCTTAACTGATGCTGATCCTTGTTACTCTCTTACTGTGAAATTTTCCAGTTTTAAATACAGGTACTTATGCTATGCAGGAAAACAGTATTCAAAGTAACTATGTCAGTAACTTCCTGAATTAATTCCCATCAGATTGCACACTTATCAGTTACAGATAGAACACCAAGCCAGTGTGTTCTAAGGGAGGAGGGAGGGCCAGCGCTCCTTTACACTGGGCCGCTCTGACGTCGCCACTTGTGGTATCGTAAGCTCCTGTTTCTGTGACTAATACGTAGGATTTTCAAGGTGATCGAATACTCTGCTTTCTACTTAGCAACATTTAAAGAGTTATGAACTCTTCAACATTAAACCTATCATTAACATAATTTAATCTTTTATTCCAAAGTCACCTCACATAGAGTACTTTTTTTAATAAAAAAAAATTGACAATCCAGGATGCTTGACCAAATTCCTGATGTCCGAATTATCTGATGTTTTAACTCTGAAGTCACGTGTTTCTCCTCAGCATGGAATGCTCTCCAGCTGGCCGATCTCAGTGACCTGTGGCCTTCAGCTGCATGCTCACTGACGGCAGCAGAACTGTCCCTCCTGGTTGCTGCATGTTCTTCACCCTGCTCCCTGGCCCTGGGCTGGCGAGGTGGCGTCGAGCCTGCCCTGCACAGGGTTTCCCAGGAGAGCCCTGGCACGTGTCACTCCTCCTTGGCTCACGTTTTCCGTGTTTTCTGGGTCCCTGGGGACCGGAAGGCGCCCTGGTGACAGTCTGTTCTGCTTGCAGGTGTCTCTGTTGGATGAGAGCAGCCTCAGTGGGGCTCGGCGGGGCGGTGCCTGCGGTTCCCGGGCTGTAAGGCGCTGTCTGTTTGCCACCTGTCCTGCCTGCTGCATGTCCCTGGGAGCGCTTGCCGGGAGCCGTTCCAGTCGTGGGAGGCACAGACCGTCACGGGGAGGAAGCGCTGTCTCCTCTCATTTTCCCACTGTCATGAGGGTCAGGGGTAATTGAACTGTGGACTCTCTGGCTGTTGGCCCAGTGTCCCCAGTAGGTCCACACTGAGGTCACAGGGAGACCAGCCTGAGCTGAGTTTCATCCGCTCTGTTCCCTTGCTGACCCTGACAAGAAGCAAAGTGACCTCACAGACGCAGGAGAAGGCCAGGGCGTTGGAGAATCGCAGACTATTTCCCCCTCAGTGGCCGAGGAGGTCGAGCGAGTCTGAGGACTCCAACAGGCATGAGTGTCCCCTCCTTTCTCCACCCATGGTCCTTCTGCCTTCTCTTCAAGGGATCTGAAATGACAATTGCCGTCACAGTAAGGGGGTAGTAGCTGTATAGTCAATATTTGCTGGTGAACGAGTGGAAATAGTGACAAAACGGGAATGAGCAGGAGCTGTGGAAGCGGGTGACCCAACTGGCAGGGCTGCGCCCCCCCCCCCCCCCCCCCCCCGCTGGGGCCACACACTCGGTTCTGACCTGTGCTGCCCTCGAGGACGCACTACACCGGCCACTCCTCAGACCCTCCGTGGAGGGAATGGCCTGCTGAGAAATACCTGAACCACCTTTATAATTTTGCTTTTGAAAGTAATCAGCTACTTAATTGGCTAAATCCAGTTTTATGATTAATCGAGCTGTTTCTCCAACCATCGTGGATGCTCGTCAATTCCTTTGAAGCAAGTCAGTGTGACCTACAGTTTTCCTTATAGTTTTTTTTATGACTATCAAGTTCAATTGTTAGTTGGCACAGCACCAGTCCTGGGTGACATGTAAACAGGGATGGAGTTCTGTGTGGCATAAATCATTTAATGTAACTCCCTACACATTAAATGTTTTTTCTAGTTCTTAAACCCTTTGGCAGGCCACTAGAGAGCCGACAGGCCATGCTTAAGGCAGGAGAGCCCTGTCCTGTCCTGTGAGGATGAAGAGCTGCTAAGTGCTTGTCTTGATCTGAAAAGAGGGCATGGACTGATTCTCAGGAGGACAAGCCTTTCCAAGCCCTGGCTGTCTTCTGGCGGCCATGGCAGAGCTGGTGAAGCCCACAGCTGGAGGCCCACAGAGGCTCATTAAGCAGCGCCTTGGGGACACTGCGGGGTAGCGACCCATGGAGCATGGCCCCAGAGTGCTTTTTCATGGCAGGGATTTCAACCTCCTGTGCAGGTTGCGTGGCAGTGAGGTGGAGGAGCCTGAGTTAAAAGTCCATCTTACAGTGGTGCCCGGGACCCTGGGGCCAGCCAGGTGCTGCACTCACACCGAGGGAGCTCAGCTCTCGTTGTTAACCAGGTTCCACAGGCTGGGCCTGGGGAAGGGACTCTTGACAGAGATCTCTGGCCCCTGGCTGCAGATGAGCCTTGGGAGTGTGGTACTCGGGCTTCTAGTCTTTCAGCCAAGGAGAGTCCAGCAAGGACCCAGCCGAGTGGCTATGACTTCAGGGATCCTAGGCCTGCCCAGGGCAGTCCTGGGCCCACCTTGGAGGACTTGCCACCGCCCCGGATAGCTCAGGAATTGCCCCTCGCAGCCCCTGAGCTGGGCTGAGGGCTCTGTGTGGAGGGGTTCCCTCAGGCATTTTGAGCCCTGGGACGTCACCATCAGTGGCCTTGTCTGATCCTGGAGCTGGGAAGCCTGCAGAGACAAGCTCAAGCTCAGACACAACCTCTTTTTCATCCTTGGCCCTCTGTCTGGTCCTGTCACAGATGAGAGCCACATGGGCAACAAGAGGCAGAGGCATGATCCACACTCGGCCACCCCCAGTCACACGACTCACACATGAGGGGGCACAGGTCCTGGAGACAGGCTGGCAGCTTGCTCAGGTGGGGCCATCCGCCCCAGGAACCCTTCTGCCTGGGGAACTGGGCCTGCAGTCAGCCCTGGAGCAGTCGCCTGACCTGTGGCGCCATAAGCCAGGTGCAGAGAGCACGGAACGTAGTAGGGTCTGTCTGTGTCTGTAAACTGGGAGGCAAAATAATTCTGCCTTAACGGGCTGACTTAGGGTTTTCCGTGATGTTGAGCTCTCAGCCGGCCGTGCCAGTGAGCCTCCTGTCCTGTGCCAGCTGGGCAGGGTGTGTCCCACCCGGTGCCCACACAGCGGTGTTGCCCAGTGTTGCTCGTTTTTCCCTAAAGAAGTCAGCATGGGTAAACGGGTCTGGGGAACCTGGCCCTGCTGGCCCCAGCCCTGCGAGAGATTTAATTCTTCCAATTAATGTTTGGTGGTCAACAGTTGGAATCATTCATTCACCAAGTACTGATGGTGACAGTCCTCACCTGCTCCCTGGAGGTTCATTTGTGAACAGACTGGACACGGACTCTGCGGGGGTGGAGGGCCGGTGTGTCCTGCTGGGGAGACAGGCAAACTGAGAGGTGCTGTTGAGATGAGACTGAGGATCTAGGGTTCCTTAGGCCTGTGCTGAGCACGATTCCTGCGGACCTCCCAGTAGAGAGGAGGGTCAAGTACCTGGCGCAGGGGAGGTGGCCAGAGCTGTAGTGGAGGGGCCGTGGGCTGTCCTGAAGGTCTACCTCATGACACGCCAGGCTCTGCTCGGTGCTTGCAGCCCTAAGTGGTGTCCATGCCAGCCAGGCCTTCCCAGCCCTGCCTTCTGCAGAGAGGGGCAGCACTTTTTTGAAAAACATGGAATGTGTCTAAGACCGACTCCAAGGCAGAGCTGAGAGGCCACAGCTATAGACTCTGCTGTCGCCGGCGCGGTCCTTCCCGGGAGTGGGAGAGGGTCAGAGATGATGGGTGGGTAGGCAGGCAGAGACCCACGCAGGCCCCGGGCGGCAACCTGGCACTCTGAGAACGCCACAGGCAGCTCTGAAGTAACCTGAGTCTTACTTTGTTTCCATGTGGAAAATAGAGAAGCAGACTCCTCCCTAGGTCGGCGCTGAGTGCCCTGTCCTCGTCCCCAGCTCCTGCGGGAGGCGGCTTAGGCCCTCAGTCCCTCCCACCACCCGTGCTCTGTGCACAGGCGAGGCGTGGCGGACACTCGGTGTCACTGCTCCTTCCTGAGGGCTCTGTGATCTTGGGATGTTGCCATCTATTCCTCCTGTTAGTGGGCGCTGCTGGCTGTGCCAGGCCCGGTTCCTTTCCCAGTGCGGTTGCTCCCTAACCAGCCTCTCTTCCTCTGCCCTGCGTGTGGCCAGCTCAGCGACTAACAAGTATGCTTCCAGCGGCCTCCATGCTCATTGCTTCGTGGCTGACCCTGTTCCTTGTCTCTATCTGTGTGTCCTACGGCGACGGCTAGCCTTCAGAGTACAGTGGCCACCTCAACTCCGGCTCCCGCGCCTCTTCCAGGGCCAGCTCGGCGCGGGCCAGCCCTGTGGTAAGTTGCCCCTGCTGCCCTTGCCTCCTGTCTCCTCCTGCCCTCGTCCTGCACTTCTCTATCCTTTACAAGTGACCCCTGTCTTCAGAGCCAGCATGGGAGGGAGGCTGAAGACCTCTCCATGATTCATTTCAGGCTTAAATAGAAACAGGATCGAGGGAAACCGGTCCACATTTGGCTACTGTTAGGGGCATCAGGTGGTGTGGCTGAGTTTCTCATGGACCATAAATGTAAGAAACTTCTGACCGAGTCTAGACGTGGGAGTCCCGGAGGGGAGCCCTGGACAGTAGAAGGCAGAACATAACCATGTGCGGGGTGTGCTGGTTTTTTCCTTTAAATTTTGAAGGACTGTCTTCATGTTTCCTTTGAAATGTTACCAGTGGTTGGAGCCAGTGCAGACCTGCGGTGCCCCTGCCTGGTGTTCACCGCCTGTCGGTCCTCCACGGCACACTGTCTGTGGCCCAGCACAGCTGGCCTGGCTTCGGGAAGCAAGGGCCTGTGGCTGGCCCTCCCCTGGTTAAGTGTCCTTAGTGTGGGTTGCCCGGGGTCTTCACAGCTGCAGACTCGGCCTCACCAGATCTGAGGCTTCATTCGAGGCCACTTGATCATCCTCTTACCAGGGCCAGGGGCCCTCGGGGGCTGGCGAGCCCCGTGGAGAAGGGCAGACGGCCAGGCTGCTCTCTTCCTCTCACTTGCATTCAGACCACCAGCCTCAGAGAAGCTCCATGTGGCCCTCAACTGAGTCACTCAGCACCGTACTGCCCTGTGTTGGTGCCCGAAACCCAGGCCGTGCTCCTGGTAGTGAAGTAGCTTTGGAGCTGAGGCCCGAGGGCATCATTATCCCTCCCTGTGTCCGTGTCTCCCAGTGGTGCTGCCTGGTGGCTTGTTTTGAAGCAGCCCAGACCTTCACAGCTGTGGGGCTCACACCAGGATGGCTCCCTCGGTCAGAGGAGCCTGTGGGGTCCCTGGCAGCTCTGAGCCCCACAGCCTAGTCGAGCAGCCCCAGTTCCCTGCACAGCCCAGTTCCCGTGGTGCGAGGCCAAATGCCCTTCATCACTGGCAGGCAGCCACGTCTCGTGGCCTAGAAAGGACAAGAGCTCAGGAGGAGCAGGTGTGAGAGTGGAGGCCCGTGCCTGGTGGACACAGGGACTGCCCCGTGTGAGTCTCACACACACATACCCTGCCACCTGGTGTCATAGGAGAGTCTGACCCACTGCCGGACTAGAAGCCACGTGCTCAAAGGAGTCAGACCTGTGCACTGAGCACGTGGCTGCAGGTGCCACAGAGACTCGAGGCCCCGCTCCTGGCTGAGTCTCTCCCAGAGCCATCAACAAGGTGTCCCCTCTTGCTGCACTGCAGGCAGGTCGCTGCCATGCTGGGGGGCCCTGCTCACCTCGGCCTGCTGGGGGGCCCTGCTTACCACGGCCTGCTGGGGGGCTGGGCGGCCCTGCTCACCACGGCCTGCAGGTGTCCACCTGCGAGCTTGGGTTGTCACACTGGGTGTCTCGTGCTCTGTGRCAGCAAAACATACCTGAACTTATCTCAGAGAGAGCAAAGGTTTTCCACAATAAACTTCATGTAGCATCACTCTCCTTATGTAGAGTACTCTCTTAAACACCCAGTTCTGGGGGGGAAAAAAAAAAAAGGAGATTTTCAATTGATGGGGGAAGTAGCTTCACTTTCAAAGAATCCCAAACACCTTCCGTGCCCCCTACCTGGTGTAATCAGGTGACACGTGGAATCATAAGTCCTGATTACTTGACATCATTAGAAATTTTGTTTGGATTTATTCCAGCATCATGATGAAGTTTCAAAATGATGGCACCGTATAGTCACTTTACTAGAAAGACAAACCAGATGCAAATTTCTTTGTTGCATGCTTTCTAAATTTGTGGAAAATTAACTTCATAAAATGGGTGTAATAGTTGGGCTGGGGCTGGGGCTCAGTGGCAGAGCACTTGCCTAGCATGTGTGGGGCACTGGGTTCAATTCTCAGCACCAACAGATAAATAAAAATAAAGGTCCATCAACAATTTAAAAAATTTTTAAAAAATGGGTGTAGTAGATGGCYCTAAACAGGGTGGGGGGGTAGTCTCTGTGACTTGGGCAGAGGAGGACTGGGCCCACTTGAGTCTGGACCTGGAGCCCCAGCCTTCTCTTGGGGCTGGGGCTGTGCTGTTGTTGGAAAAAAACATGGTGTGGGAGCTCCAGCCTCTCCGGTGCTGGGTTTTCAGGTCATTTTAGAGATAGTGCAATTCTTTCTTAGTGAGTCAATTGCTCATTGCACAAAGGTCGACCAGTAGTCCTCCTGTTGGTTATTTAGTGAGCAAAGATCAGAATCCCAAGGCATGCGTGGGAGGGGCTGTCCTTGGCCTCATCCTAGCACCTCTACTGGTAGGGGACTGCCTGTGAGTGGTTTTCAGAGCCTCACAGGTGCCTCTGTATGGTGAAGACAGTTCCCAGGGGACACAGTTACAATATCCTGTGTCTATCTCAAGGATGTGGGGCTAAGAGACTAGCATCTCCTTGGTATCTGAGTTAGCCACTCTTGCATCGTTTCCAAGACGGCTCCCCTCACATGGAATGGCACCATTTCTGTTTTCTGTGTCCTGAGGAGGCTACACCATTGTAAGGGGGCAGGTGTGTATTGGGGGCTACTAGACCAACAGAAAGTGTTGGTGGGTGTGTTCAGCCTTGTTAGTGAGAAGAAGACGGGAAGGCTGTACCCAGGCTCCCTGGCCTTCCTAGGTCAGGGGTGGTACCTGGGAGGCTGCATGGCAAAGGCCAGTGGCCCTCCAGCCTGGTCTGTAGGAGGGACGCTGAGCTGGAAGTGCACTGGGGCAGTTCAGATGTCACAGTCTCATTCCTGACTTGGAACTCTGGCCAGGCACATAAGCTTTCTTTTTCTGCCCGCCCGCCCTCCCTCCCTTCCTTCCTCCCTCCCTCCCTTTCCTCCCTTCTCTCTCTCTCTCTCTCTCTCTCTCTCTCTCTCTTTCTTTTCTATTTTGTTTTGGTACTGGGGATTGAACCCAGGGCACTTAACCACTGAGCCACATCCCCAGCCCTCACATCAACTTTCTTGAGCTGCACGTGGAAAGCAGAGTAACACCCTTAGGGGTCTCCCATCCAAGTACTAACCAGGCCCGACCCTGCTTAGCTTCCGAGGTCAGACGGGATCGGGYGCGTTCAGGGTGGTGTGGCCGTGGACGACACCCTGGGGAACAGCCACCCAGAAAGGCCTGGTTGATTTGCTTCTGCTGGCTGGAGGTGTCCAGGCAACACCATCACGCTGTGGAAATGATCCCTGGCCTGGTCTCCTCAGGGCGGGTCCAGGGTGCTTCTTGGGAAGTCGGGGCACGGCAGCCCTGAAGCTTGGCAGGGACCCCACTCTGGTGTGGAAGGTGCACGTGCACCAGTGAGCTGGCCTCACCCATCAGACGGGAAGGYGGGTGGGAGTCCAGGGGGCAGTGTAGACCACAAGAGAAGGCACAGAACGAAGCAAATGATGCTTGTCCCACCTCAAGGAAATGGAAGCGCCTCGGTGCCCAGAGTCTCCCACCAGGGTCAAGACCTGAAGCTGGTACACGGGCCTGCGGTCCTGAGGAAGCAGGGGGGAGCCACCCCATCCCAGAGGGACTGCCGCTCCTCACTCCCACGATTTCCCACTCTGCACAGGTGCCAGGTTTTCTGCTTCTCCAGCATGCCCTTGAGGAAGCTGTGATCTGGGTATTGATTGAGCACCTGGAATGTTCCGGGCATAGGGCCAGAGTGTCAGCCAGTGAAGACCCGCCCCGGCCCTAATGGGACACACAGACTGGGCAGACAGACACTGTCAAATGAAGAGCACAGCTGCCAGGGGGAGGCAGGAGCAGGGAGAGGCGGGACCCTGGGTGTTCGGGACCCAGGCTGGACCACTCCGAGCCCAGGGACTCTGGTGAGGCCAGCACCTCCGCACCACAGAGCTCCTCGCTTCTGAAACATCCATCAGGAATGTCCCCAGTGGAGCCTGGACCCATGTGTCACCTCATTTATTCAGAGAAAACGTGTGGTGAACTCGGGTCTCTGCCCATTTGAACTAGAAAAATCAAGATCATTGTGCGAGACTCGGGTGGGGACAGGTGGCCCTGGACCTGGAGTTCCAGGGTGAGTGCTCAGGATACTGCAAACTCTATTGGATATAAAACCCAGACTCTCCCCGCCCCATGGGAGACCCCACCATTCAAATTGCCCTGAAATGAATGTTCTTGAGTGGTGTCTGCTGCTGTCACTTTGTTTTGAGGGACATTGCTTCAGTGATCCTGTTTCCCTCCTGGGGTTGGTGTGGCCTGGCTGAGAGTGGGACACCGTGAGAAGAGGTCCCCTCTATGCCTGGTCCTTCTGCTGGGGTCTCTGTGTGTGAGGACAGGCGCCCACAACCGTTCTGACTCTGGCCCTCGCCATGCCCAGGCAAGCCCGTGAAGTGGCCTCATCTGGACACTGAGCAAAGGGGATTCCTAGATCACCCCGTGTGCTGCTCTAGGGCACTTGTTTTTGAAAGGAAGTTCAGCTGTGAACTGAGCTTCCACTGAAATCTCTTTAGGAGGGGCTCTGTCCAGTAGTTCTCAACCCTGCCTGTCAGTGGTGACATGGAAGGTGCACACACCCTGTTTATTGGTGTGCCTTTCCACACTGACCTCCAGTGTCGGACACCATGGGAGAACAAAGGTTCTGCAGGGGTCCTGGGTCCATCCTCAGCCCAGGTCCTGCAGCAACCATGAATGCTTTTAAAATTCTCTAATTTTCAGAGATAAAAGTTGTGTTTTATGCAAAAAGAGCTCCATCTGTTTGACTCATCCTTTTGTGCCAGGGGCTTTATGGGAAGGGCACAGCCACATGACAGCTTCTCTCTGACCTGACCCCAGACCTGGCCCAGGCTGCCACCTAGTGGGAGCTGGTGGTGTGACGGCTCCCTGGGCCTGAACTGGGTCCCCCTGGGCTCTATGTTAATTTCTGGTGTTGAGGAACACTGGGACATCCGTGTGTCCCTTCTAATTTGGAAAACAAAGTGGAATTTGCTGTGATGTGCTGAACAAAGATTAGTTAAGTATGCGTTTTCTATCTTTCATTGAGAGCTTAATTTAAAATATTTTTCCTACATGGTCTCCACTTAAAAAATACCCCCCATTTTCACATTCTGAGTCGATTACACACCTCAGAGCAAAGACTTTTTTGTTTGTTTATAGAATGAGCCACTATGGTTTTAGGGCTTTTTAATTCCTTGTTTGGTATTTTACAAATACCAGAGAGAGAAAATGCAGTACAAGGGGCCCTCCCCTCGCCCCCCAAAAAGCCAGCTTCATTGGTCTGCCACCCATTCCTCTTCATCTTTTTTTGCAAGAAATTCTTAAAAAAAAAAAAAGGCAAAAAGCAGCCACCTGGGGTGGGCCTTGTAGGCACGGGTGCCTCTGTAGGGGAACCCGCGGTTCGGGAGACGGTTCTTGGTGCACAGTCCCCCTCTATTGCCAGGAACAGCAGAAAAGGAATGGGTGTGACACAGAGAGCAACGGCTGCCCGTGGAGATGGTCCTTTGTGCCCCATCTAGAGCTAGGCCACCTTTGTCTTGGTCCTCTGTTCCACAGACTCAGGAAATAGGTCCCCACAGAGTAGGTGCTAGACAGTTTGCTGACATTCTAGTTTGGATAAAGTTTCAGGAGTATTCTCATTCCCACGTGGAGAGAAAACCACACTTGAAATCGTCCTCAAAGCTCAAGACTCTGGGCTCTTCCAGAGATGATGAGGTACAACCATCTGGTTTGGGGTCTGCCTCAGCACCCCCAAAAGTGGTCAGGCCAATGTGGCATGCACATCTGAAAAGTGGCATGCACATCTGAAAAGTAATGACTCCAGTGTGCTTTCAGACACACGGGGCAAGCGTCGGCCATGGCACGCGGTGCCTGTCATTACAGAGCCACCGTCTTTACCAGGTCTGATGGCGCAGCCTTGGGTTGAAAGGACATCAGGAAAGCTGCATAGGAAGCATCATGAGACACAGGCCTCTGCCTGGTCCCTAGAGGACAGCGGCCATGGCTAAGTGGGAAGAGAGATGCTCTGGRCAGAGGGACCACCAGGAACGAAGCCCCTGCCCCAGCCCAGGGGCTTATTTAACAAGCTGGGGAGTGAGACTCGGTGGCCTGTCTGCTCTTAGGGTGCTAAGGAGACAGATGAGCACAAAGCTCACGCTGAATCTAGGAGTGTGAAAAGGCAGGTGAGACCACAGGAGGCCTCAGGACAGCCCCGGGTGAGCCTGGGTCTGTGGAGCAGCAGACCCTGGGCATCACCAGCCTGCACTCAGCCAACCTCGGAGCTTCTCTCCCTTGCATTAAAGGAGGGTTCCAGGTGATTCCACTTGATCCCCAGGTTGGCTGATGCACCAAAACTCTTTGCCCTATTATTTTAGTCTCAGGTGTCTCACCCTTGGAGAGGAGTTGCCACAAAGGTGGCAGTCAATGGGCCTTCTTCTTGGGCACTGATGATGAGGGCCTGGTCTTCTGGCCCATCGAGGATGCATGGTGGGCAGACAGGAAGTGGTCATTTGGAGGAGGCCGTCTTGTGCCATCTGTGAGAACCTGTGCAGAGAGGGACATTGGTGTCCCTGCACCAGCATCATTCTGAGCTGTCTGTGTTCATAAGCCCAGCCTTGGACAGAGCTCAGTTAAGATTCCTGGAACTGCAGTCCAAACTGCCCATTGTGTAAAATGCAGAGGTGACTGCAGTGTCTCTAGCCACCCTCCAGATGGGCGAGTCAGGGGTGTGACCTGCGTTTGCTGTTTGCATCTTTGGCTGATGCTCTGGCTACCAGAGGTAGCACCAGGGACCTCAGAGGGAAAAGCAAGAAGGTGGACACCTGAAGAGAAGTGCAGCCTGGGCGGGCCCAGCAGGTGGGGAGGGGAGCTTCACCAGGCCAGAGAGGACTGGGTCTCTTGTTGGATGAGAGCAAAGAAAGCAGCAGCCCCAATGCCATCCTCAGCCTCTGTTCAAAAGGCCCTGGCAGACCTGCATCACCCTGGGCTTGACACCATGCACACCTTCTGGTAGCACCAGAGGATGCTCCCTGCCCCACTGCCGCCCGGATTCCCATGGGGAAATAGGAGAGGGGCCTCAAGGAGACCACCTCCGAACAGGAAAGAAGGCAAAAGCCAAATTCTTGGCTGTTGTTAGTTGACAGAGGAAGTTAATGTTTTGTTTTATCATCTTATCCCCTAAGTTCATATCCATTTAATGCTTTGAAGTATTTGATATCTGTCCATTTTCTTTTATAGGTTGAAGAGAGACCAGAGAAAGATTTTGCTGAGAAGGTATGGAATTTCTGTGTCAGCCTCTGCCATACGCTGTTCATCAACCTGGAGGGTCCCAGGGCTCCCCTTTGGAACTGAGAAGCAAGCGTGTTGCTTGGTGTTTAGTAAAGACAATGGACAGTGCATGACAAGGCCAGGAGAGAGGGCCACCCCCATGGCGTCACATCCCCACGGGGTCCCTGTTCACATGCCGTGTGTGTTGGACAGTGGAGGCCCAACACAGCTAGGCCAGACAGAGCCCGTGGTGCCCGTGAGCCCTGAGAGCAAACCTGCCATTCACTGTTGCTCCCCACATGCCCACAGATGACCCCCCATCGGGAAGTGGAGTTAGCGTGGGGCTGTGCGCCCTTGGGCTCATCGGGAAGGGGGGTTGTGTCTGCATCACGTTTTCCTCACACTTTGCAGGGGTCTCGCAACATGCCGGGCTTGTCTGCAGCCACGCTGGCCTCCCTGGGTGGAACGTCTTCCCGGAGAGGAAGCGGAGACACCTCCATCTCCATTGACACCGAGGCCTCCATCAGGGAGATCAAGGTAAGGCGGCGCTCTGCCATGGCGGGAAGGGGCCTTTTGTGAAAATCCGTCTTCCACTAAAAGGAGTGTTTGTAAAGCTCTGGATCTTTCTTCGAGGTCCTGTCTCCTTTGCCTCCCCTAAACAGTATCTCATAACAGCAAAAGGCAGTGCAGAAGGTGTCTCCTGACCCCATCTCACCCACCAGGGAGACTGTGCCCACCCTCACGCCCTCCTTACCAGCCACGTGCTGTTGGTGGGGTTGTTCATCTCTGGGTTCTGCTACGTTTTTTGGAGTATTTGGACACTCGCTTGCTGCTCACAGACCTCACCAAGCCTGGCACACAGCCAGGCCTCTGAATGTCCCCTCCCTCTCTCTGGAACGTGCCCTTACGTTCTATTTATAATGTGCCCTCGCAGGCCTCATTGTATCTTAGTGACTTTTTTCCACTAGAAGGTGGATATGACATATCCCTGGCATCGAGGACGGTGCCAGGCACTTGGTAGCATTCTCTGTGAGCAAAAGAGAAACAACCTAGTGGTATTTGTTCAAGTACCTAGGGCCATTGTGGCTGCAGGGGGGCAGGCCAGGTAAGCAAGCCTTGTTCCTTCAGAGGACAGAACCGAGACACCGGAGCTGAGGCAGCTGGGCTGGGCTTCTCCTGTGGAGGAAYTTTATAATAGTCAAAGCTGGTTAAAAGGAGGGTCTGCTCCCCTGGTGATGTCTGAGCAGCTGGATGTCGTTTGCCCAAGGGGACAGAGAAGGATTTCAGCATCCACTGGAGGCTGGACTGGGTTACCTTGAAATTACCTTCCAAAGTCTATGTATTATGAGTATCTGAAACCAGAACAGATTTTCTTTGGAGGGTAGGGGTCCTGGGATTGAACCCAGGGGCACTTTACCATTAAGGTTATCTCCAACCCCCCCCCCTTTTTTTTTGAGACGGTTTCTTGCCACGTTGCTGAGGCTAGCCTTGAACTTGTAATCCTTCTGCCTCAGCCTCCCAAGTCCCTGGGATCACAGGTGTCTGTAGCCTCTCAGCACATGGTGCCCGTCTCTCTCTCCTGGAGGTAAAGCTCTGTGCAGTCCTGTTTTGTCTCAGCTCTTAGTTTGTGAGCACCGTTCATCCGTCCAACAAGCTAGACTTGCTGAGAGTCTGGCTCATGCTGGACGCTGTCCCAAGCCCCAGGATTTGGGGGGTGAAGGAGACACGCAGGCAGGCATGGAGCTCCGTAAGAGAAAGTGCTGCCGAGTCCTGTGCCTAGCACCTTGCTGTGTCCTGCACAGAACCAGGTCTCTCAGTGCCTGGGTGGATTGCTGAGTAGGCAGCAGAGTGCTGGTGCTATTTCCAGAAGTTCCAGTTTTTAAAACTAACATCATAAAAGGTACACCCAAATTTTATAAAATGGTGAAAAATATGAGACATACCTAAATCTTAATTTTTATAGGATTGATGTTTATTTTATCTTCCCTTAACATTTCAAAGAGAAAATGTACACTCAGGCYACCCGAATAGCAGACGCCTGCTCAGGCGCCTGAGCTTGAGGTGTGTGTGATCTCTGCTGATTTTTTTCTTTGAYGTCATTTGCCTACTGTGCCATTTCCCCCAGGAACTCAATGAGTTAAAGGACCAGATTCAGGATGTAGAAGGCAAATACATGCAAGGACTGAAAGAGATGAAGGTACCAGTTTACAGAAGGGTGGGCTCASGGTACTAACCCAGCCTAACTTCAGAAAATCCCACAGACGAAGTTCCAGGTGCACGCCCAGTCTGAAGAGGCCCAGGCTGTGGATGAGCTTGGAGTGGCGGGCATGCCCGCGTGATGTGTCCCCTTCTCCCAAATGCAGCGTCTGAACCCAGTGTCAAAGGTGCAGCGCCCCAGTGGGAAGGCCACCCACACAGCCCAATGGTCTTGCGCTCACCACCCTACCCCAGACTTGCACCCCGTCTCTCATTTCCCTCTGGTACAGCAGAGTGTGGGGAATGTCCTTGGTTCCCTTTGCTTTCTGAAAGCATAGGGAATGTGCTTCCCTTGATTTGCTTCTCAGAACATCTGGCATCCACCAGCAGGGCCATCCTAACACGCATGCCTTTGAAGCATCCGGACTGTTTGCATGCCGTGCGGTCACAAGTGAAGCAGTAGCCAAATCTGTGTCTGAGTGTGTGCACGCTCCTTTCAGAACGGGGAGTTACTTCACTGTGCCTCAGGAGACTTGGTTGCCCTGTCCCTTGACAGTAGGTGAGAGGTTCCATGGAGGCGTCATCCAGGAGTGTGACCGGCAAACCCTCCAGGCAGCTCAGGGCAGTCAGGATAAAGCAAGAGCTGGCAAATCTGTTACTTCCTTTTTGGCTCTCAGAAAGTACCGAAAATTGTCTAAATCAGCGTCAAAGGACATCAAACAAAGGAAGCAACACACGTCACATGACCAAGTCCTCGTTCTCTTTATTGCCACCTCTATTTCCTCCAAAGGGAGGAAATCAAGACTCTGGCTTTTGACTCAAGTAAAATGGGAGCGAGCGACGGGAACCACTGTTCCTGCCCACAGCGTTGCCCTGGTTTGACCTGCAGGGCTCCACGCAGCTCCRCACGGCCCCCTCTGCTCCTGGCCACGTGTCCCCCACCTCTGTCTTTAGCCCTGCGCAGTTTGCACCTGGTGACTCCACCCTCTCTCTGGCAGCACCTTCCCATAGTCATGTGTTGGGACCTGCAGGTTCGGGGGGAGCTCCTCTTGCTGGCCTCTTTCCCTGGGCTGGGAATGAACTGTGTCCTTCCAGGACTTTTCCAGTGAGACGTGTCTGCCTTGTTTCGTTTCCTGATGGGTCAAAATCGGAGTTACTGTCAATCGTCTCCTGGTGCGTGAGGCAGAACTGGGGTGGCTGCATTGCTTGTGGTGGGGTTTAGTCTCCCCCAGCCACTGGCTCTTTCCCAGATCCCAGCCACATGTCCCCAGGGATGACTTTAGGAACCTGTTGAGCAGCCCTGACACCTTGGTGGGAAGACTGGCTGCTCCCCTGAGCTTGCACCCTATGTTCCTCCTGCCCAAAGGAAAAGAGAGTCACAAACAAATCGTCTGCACAATGAGAACTTGGTCACCTTGAAAAGCGGGATTTCCGTGTGTGGCATTGCCATGTGCTTCTCACTGTGACACATTTTCCCTAAGAAATGACATCTACACTAAAGGCTGAGTTTGGGTATTGCTTTTAAAGAATACCAAATTAATCTTTATTTTGACTTTCTTATCACAATTTCAAAACTATGCTCCGGTTTCTGCAGGACTCACTAGCAGAAGTGGAAGAGAAATACAAGAAGGCTATGGTTTCCAACGCCCAGCTAGACAACGAGAAGACCAACTTCATGTATCAGGTTGACAACCTGAAGGACACGCTGCTGGAGCTCGAGGAGCAGCTGGCTGAGTCTCAGCGACAGTACGAAGAGAAAAGCAAAGTAAGCTGTGGTGTGTACAGGGCGCAGCGCTGGCCAGGGCTCGGGGGCTGTGAATGGGCCGTCAGGGGCCCGGGAAACTCCAACAGCTGAAGACATGCCATGCTCTTTGCCAAGTGCCTTGAAAGGTTGGCTGTCATTTCAACACGTAAAGCAGAGGCAGTTTCATTAGAGAAGGTCGTTGTTTGCGAGGAAGGTGCTATCCTAACCATGGATAAGCATGCTTGCAAAAGAACCAACATGCTTGGAAAAGGCACAGTTAGATGATTTTTTCCTATGGGCATACATTTTCTGTTGCTTCTCAATACCACAGAGAAATAGTTAAAGGTATCAAAGGTGTTAAGAAAATTGTTTTTATTTTTTGCTGATGGGGAGACATGGTTTCTCCATTTAAGAATTAAATACCTTTATTTAAGCTCAGAGAAGAGTCTCATTTGCACTTGCACTAAGAACCACTGGGATTGGTCTGCTGTTAACTTATGTTATTGGCGTCAGCCTGTTAAAGTTAATGACAGGAGACCTACTGAGGTAGCCGAGCCCAGCTGTTCTTCAGGAGGAAGGAATACTTGGGTTCTGTTTGTTTCAGTGGTACCAGGGTTGAACCCAGTGATGCTCTCTCACTAAGCTACATCCCCAGACATTTTTATTTTTAATTTTTGAGACAGGTTCTAGCTAAGTTGCCCAGGCTGACCTTGAACTTGGAATCCTCCTGAGCAGCTGGGATTATAAGTGTGCAACACCACACCCAGCTAGGAATACTTGTTTTTCCTATTTGTAGGAATTAGCTGGTTTATCAAACCCTRGAATGTCATCCAGTTCTTTGCAGAGTATTCTGAGATGAACAGAGAATTTAATATGTGAATGTCATCCTCATCTTTTAAACTGATTGTATGGTCAGAATCCCAAGTATTAAAACCAAGGTCCCATCACCAACTCAAAGGCCTACTTCTTTGCCACAGGATCATGTTAGAAGCTAAAAGGAATTTTGCACACAGTTCCTGACAGCCAAGCTCTGAGAGAGTCTCATGAGGCCCGAGGACATGGTGGGGGTGAACAGCTGTGGGCCCCAGTGCTGGCAGGCACGGTGGAGCATTCGAACCCTAGACCACCATCCTCAGGCCCCGTGAAATGGAATGCAAACCCTCAAGCCTAACTCCAGAAGCTGGGTGGTGCTAAAATGTGCTCCCACGATGGAGACAGGGTTGCCAAGGTGGAACCCTTCCCAAACAGCCTGCCTACGCAGATCCAGGGACATTAGTAGTAGTTGTGCCACCGTGTGGGCTGCAGAACAGAAAAGCCATGTGACCTGGTCCCTGGACTGGACCTCGTGCAGGGGCTGGACGCGGGGCAGGGTGCCCTGCAGGCGCTGTGCTTGCCCCCTCCGCCCTCTCCTGCCTTGTCTTAGGAGTGGCAGCTCTGGTGTGGAGTCGGCAAGGAGGCTGCTCGGATCCCCTATTTCCACAGTGATTTGCTTTTCAAATCGGGCATCATTTTTCCTGGCCCTGTGCAGGGCTCCTCACCCCAGCTCCACATGGCCCTGGGGACCCAGAGAGGAACCAGGAAGCTGCGAAACTCCTCAGGTTGACTTTACAGTCTCCTGAGGGAAATGCGTGGGGACGTGCTAGGGTGACAGAACAGGCCTTTCCTCCCTGCAGGAGTTTGAGCGGGAAAAGCATGCCCACAGCGTACTGCAGTTCCAGTTTGCTGAAGTCAAGGAGGCGCTGAGGCAGAGGGAAGAAATGCTGGAGGTAGGTGGCGGTTTCCTTTCCTTTCCTTTTGGAGTTGGAACATTTGTTGGTTTTAGCTCAGACGGGCTCAGACGAGCTCAGTCTTGCTCAGACTGGTTCAGACTGGCTCAGACGGGCTCAGACGGGCTTCCCTCAGGCCAGAGCTGCGCCTCACCCTCTCACAGTTCTGGAGACGGGAAGTTCCAGACAAGGCCTCCCACTGCGGCCTCCTTGCTGTGTTCTCACATGGCAGAGGACACTCATCCTGTCAGATCAGGGTCTCACCTGCCTGACCTAAAAGGAAGTGCCTCCATGGGTGAAGATTCTTATTCTCTTGGTGGCGGTGTGCTTATTTGGGGACATGTGGTAGACAGAACAGACGCCCACATCCTGATCCCTGGAGGTTGTAGGTGTGTTGCCTGACACAGCAGAGCGACTGTGCAGAAATGACTAAGGTAAAGGCCTTGGGGTGTTAACCAGGGCCACTGCTGGGTCTGATACGATCACAAGGGTCCTTGCAAGGAGAGGCCAAAGTAGGGGACGTCAGACCCAAGCAGGGAGTGGAGTGATGTGAGGAATAGCCAAGGCCAAGGTATGTCTAAAAGGGTTCTAGAAGGGGAAAAAAGCAAGACCATCTCCCCTGGAGCCCCCAGGAAGGAACACAGGCCTGCCCCTACCTTGATTTTAGCCCATAAGACTCACTTTGAACTTCCAGTCTCCAGAACTGTAAGAGAATAAATTGATATTGTTTTAAGCCATTTAGTTTGTGGTGATTTGTTACAGCAGCAAGAAGAAACTAATACAGTCATGTATCACGTGACATTTCAGTCAGCAGTGCACCACAGGTACAACCCTGGTCCCACAGTATATCAGCTAGTGTCATCGTAGCCATCTTGCTCTGTGTCAGCCCACTCTGTGGTATTTGCACAGTGAAGATGTCGTCTCACAATACCTTTCTCCCACTGAATCCACGATGTCCAGCAAAGCACAACTATATGGGGTTGGGTTTTAATTTTTAAGTTAATCAGTACTTTAACTGGTGACTTTGGGGTGAGAATTCACCATGGCAGGTTTTCTCCCTGGACTTCTTAGAGCTGAGAGTAAAGCAAGGGAAAACCCTCGGATACTGGTGAGCTCAGGGCTGATGAGGTGAAACGGCCCCTTGTGGACTCAGCTGTCCGAGCTCGCTGGGTATCCAGCACCGGGCCCTTCTTCCTGCTTGACCCTTTACCTGCTTTCTTTCCATCTGTTCCTTTCCTCAGGAAATCCGACAACTACAGCAGAAGCAGGAGAGTTATATCAGGGAGATTTCTGATCTTCAGGAAACAATAGAGTGGAAAGACAAAAAGATAGGGGTAGGATTCTCAAGTTGAATTGGGCAAGCGGCTTAGCGAACAGTTATTGCAGAATGTTTGGTTTGCAAAAGCTTGTGTGGGTGCATGCAACTCCCGTGTGACACAAAATTAGGAACAGAGTTCATGCACTAACTTAGCAAATTGATAGTAACTAAGATTTGGAGTTGACTGCTTTCCCTGGCTGCATGGTGAGGGGCCCAGGACCCTGCTTGGCCTTGCCTGGGTTTTTTCTCAGAAGGGTTTACRGAAACTATGGGTAGCAGGAGCTGCACCCCACATAGTTCTACATCGAAATCTCCCCAGGGTGGCCTCCTGAGACCCACTCCCTCTGCAAAGAGGCAGCCCACCCACGTTCAGCAGTGACAGATAGGAAGACAGGGACCCCACAGAGCCATAGTCGCAAAGAGCTTCTAAAACATAGAAACTCACATGACCCAGCCCCGATGAAGGCCTAATGGTGTGTGACCATGTGTCTGCAGGTCCACTGTGTGAACTGCACCCTGGCTGCACTTTACACACCCAGCAGCACTTAGCTAGGAGTGCCTGTGCACAGATGCATGTGTTCAGACAGGTTTACTTTTATCAGGGACAACAAACACTCATCATCTATGTGTAAAAATGACGGAAGAGTTCCCATTTGGGGGCTCTTCAGCACTCCTCTTGGTTCTTTGTCTGTCCCTCAGTTAAGTGAACACATTGCTCGTGGGGACTTCAACGCCGTGCGGGTGCAGGCCCAGCTAGCACTCGAGGCCCTGAAGCCGCCTCTGGGTTTCCATGAGCCTGCTCGCGAGCTTCCAGAAGCTAGCACCCTGCACCCGGCCACCGCACAGATGCTTGCTGCCTGTTCTGTCTGCTCCTTAAGCATCTTTCCATGTCTGGGCTGCTTAGTGTGTGGACAGTAGAGCCGCCTTCTCGCCGCTGCTCCTGAAGTAACTGCTCTTCTTGCCTGTCTTCTTTCTCTCTGCTCCGCTGCACACTCAGGCCTTAGAGAGGCAGAAAGAGTTCTTTGATTCCATAAGAAGCGAACGAGATGATCTTAGAGAAGAAATAGTCAAGCTGAAAGAGGAATTGAAGGTATGAAGTCAAAGTCCTGTTTAAAAATACCCCAGTGGCCACAGCCAATTCTGGGCTTCTGTGACTGTGTCAGCTGTGTCTATACTGTGACATTGATGCACGCAAGGCGTACTTTCACTGCCCTGAGGAATCACATGAAGTCAGTGCAGATCGGGGTCATTAGGTGCTCATAAGCACAAGTGATCTTGGAAGGACCTCAGGTTTGCAGCTCTGGGTGGTTTTTTTGTTGTTTTTGTTACCTGAGTTTTCCTCATACTCATTAGTAAGCCTTCTAGAATATTCCTCCAGGTTGGAAAATGTATTTGTGTCCTTGGAATAAAGCCTCCCCCCATAGACTTCTCCTGATGAGCAGTGTCTGGGCTAAGTGGTGGGGTTAGGCCCATGCTTGAGACCTTGAGACCTCCTGGTCCTGGGAGAAGGACAGCCCACATCCTGGACACCATGTCAAGGGACCTGCAGCTGCAGTAGAAGCCCAATGGGCAGCATCTAGGGGGGCTCTGGAGTGCTGCAGGAGGGAGTGTTGAACAAGGCATGGCCCTGGTGACACCTTCGTGTCGGGGACATGTCATGTCTGCTCTTAAATTCCTGAACCCGCAGGGCACAGGCCTGGAGTCAGGTGGCCAAGGATGCTCCTCAGAGGCTGTGCCCGAAGCATCCGGGAAGAGCTGTGAGGCAGGGGCRGCCGGCAAGTCAGGACCCCAGGGCTGCCAAGCGTCTCTCCGTGTCGTGTCGTGGACATGCTCATTCTTTTGAATGCGTGCAGCATTCCGGACCCCTCTGAATCCCCGCAGCATGAGTCTCATTCCTTCCAGAACACCTGAGCACGCCTTTCTCTCGGGGCTGTGTGGCTGAGGGGCACTTCCCAGGGACGGCTTGGAGTGCCACTTGTGGCAGCTCAGGGGCTCTTATGCCTGGTTTAAAGGATCCCTGTTGAAAGTATCTTGTCACCAGAAAATTAGGTCCCAGATAGGAGCCCAAAGGAGGCAGCATGTGGAGGAAGCYGCCACAGACTTGTGTGCTGGTGGAGCACTTACAAGCGTGGTGCCCAGGCACCTCTGCGTCCCTCTGGAGTCTCCCTCTCCAGGAAAAACACTTTCCTTTTTTTAAGATTATTAATAAAAAAAGTTTTAACCTGATATTTCTGAGTATTACAGTGAGCCTGTTTTTGTTCCCAGAAACATGGAATCATCCTAAATTCAGAAATAGCCAACAATGGAGAGACTTCAGATACACTAAACAATGTTGGGTACCAAGGCTCCACCAAGATCACTAAAGAGGAGTTAAATGCCCTCAAGTCGGCCGGGGACGGGACACTGGGTAAGTATGCGTTCCTGATCCCTTCATCTTTCAATCAGCCTTGGCTCACATTCCATGCATTTTTAGAATTGAAGCAATCGTAACTGATCAATTAACAGTCACACAGCATGCCATTTGTTCTGTCACGTCATGGTAATTTCCTGCCAATCAGTGTGAGGGCCCACACGCGTTGTCTGGCATGCACCTCCTCCAGCTTACCACAGTGGCTCGATCCACGTACCTCTGCGTCTCAAAGCTGTGAGTGTAAGGAGGGACCAGCACTGGGTGACCGTGCTCTCCTCAAATCTGTGCCAAGTGTGGCTTTAACCTGCTTCGTTATGGAGCTATCAGATCAGAGTAGCCGAGGCTGCGAAGCAGGTTAGGTGGCCACAGGAGCCTGCCATGCTGTCACAGCCTGTGCCCTGCTCAGCGTCCTGCAGGCACGAGGGGCACATGGAGCACACACGGGTTGTCGGTCTCCACCCAGCTGGGTGGGGGGCAGGCAGTCCTGGGTGGTGGGTGTGGCCAGGGTGTAGGAGGCCTTGGTCGAGCATGCTCCTTCAAATGCCGTGCCCTTGCTTCCGCACGAGGATCAGGTGGTGGAGTCCAGTGGATCATGGGATGTTTTATATGATTTTCAACCACCTGCAGCAACTCACTAATATTCATCATACCGTCTGGCTTTGGGATAAGCCCTCAGCCTGAAGCTGCACTCCCTAAAAAAGGCCTGGTCTGTCCCTAGTACCAGTTGCCCTTCAAGTTTTTATCAGTGAGGCTGGAATAAGAGAGAGCCCATGATTTTTAATTGCAAATTAGAAGTTTTCAGCTTACTTAGTTTTCTTTATGCAAATGTGGAAACCTGTAGGCTTTAGCTTCTCAGGACTCATCTCCCAGGGAAGTCCCTTTTTATCTTTACCACTCCTAAAGACAGCACTTGGAACTGTGTAAAAGTTGTTGGGAAGAAAAGGTGAATTAATGAATTACCATCATGCCTTTAGAAGGGGTGCTGAGCAGGTAGGGATTGACCATGCTGCTCTTGTCCAATAGCTGTTTTGTATACCTTTTATAACCACCATGAGCTGCTTAAATGCCAGCTTTGTGATGGTCTTTAGTGTTTTAGCTCACATATCCYGCCAGTAAAGGATTGTGGGAATTTATCAATACACATGTTATCTTTTAATGTACTTATGTGTACTGTTTCATTGATATAGAAAGTACCTCATAAGACATAGAATAATAGAAATGTTTAAAAGGTAAAATAAAACTAAATCGTAGTGCTAGTATCTCCCCTATTTTCCTGGGGTCATGGCCCCAGTGTGGAGACGACTGGCTACAAGATTGTCAGGCTTTGGCTTCCAGTAACATGGTATCTAATAGGCGCAGGCTTGTTTAGAGAATCTCAAGTATAACTGTTTGTTCCAAAGCAGTGTCAAGCTTCCTACTTGTAAACAGTGTCTTAATTAAGTGGTCCCCTGGCATCCAGCCTTGCCTCCTGCTGGGATGCACAGGCTCCTGGGCTGAGCTGAGGATTCAGGACAGATGTCGACACTCTTTCAGGAAGACAATGCTTGGGCAGTGGAGCATAGCTTTCTCTTTGCCTTATAGGAGCTATTTTAAAGGTATCCTCATTGAGATGGATCTTGAGTCTAAGCTTCTGAAACTGAACTGAACATTCTTTAAAAACAACAATTTGAGAGCCACTTAGGGGCTCTGATCAGCAAAGCCACTTGATAACCGGAAAAGCACGAGGTGTCAGGATGTACATTTGGAAATGGGAACGGACCTGCAGTCCATTCTTAAACCCATCATTTTGGGTTGTTTGGCTCTCTGATCCAGAGCTGTTTCTTTGTGTTAAGATGTGAATTCACCTTGAAAAGCTCATGCACGGCAGCACCAGCACACTGTTGCCTTGGAGACGGTGGCCAGGCCTCACTGATCCGATTCTTGCTAATGCAGTTGCTGCTTTGCCACACTGAAATAGCAGAAGCCTCCATTTCATGTGATTCTTTGATGACTCACTCTCTCTAGGAACAGGGCTGGGTGGGTATTAGAACCTGTGTTTACTTTTTAATATATGTTGAGTGGTCACTGCATCATGGGGTCCCTTCAATTCTCTCAATGGTCTTTTAGGAAGAGCCACAGAAGTGAAGGTGAAAAATGAAATTGTGGAGAATATGGGGAAAAGAGCAATCTTGCAGAATACTGAGCAAGAACAGCACAAAGAGGACACAGTAAAGGATTATGTATCACATCCTGGTGAAAATGTGGAGGAGCAGAAAACCTCTGGAGACAGTGCCCCGTCCCCAGGACCCAGAGCAAATGCTAACTGTGAGGAGCAGGTTCACGACCAAGTTCTAGAGAATACTGCTTTCCTTGAAAGTCCAGGGCAGGTTGAGTCAAGAGGGGTCACAGATGTGCCAGATGGTGAAACTGGGGCTTCCCTAGAGCAGCCTGGCTATTGGAGGGATTTAGACAAGGAAGCCCCAGTACCCACGAATGGGCAGGGCAGTTGCACTGCCTTGGATATCAAAAGCCAAAGTGAGCCATCTGTAGGAAGGCAGGAAAAAGAAAAGCAGGAGGATTGGAAAARCGACTTGGAAGAGGTTAGCTCACAGACATGCCAGGAATCTGCTCCTGTGCCAATACCCGAAGTTGAAAGAATGAATAGGACAGACRCTGGAGGGCCAAGTGGGGGTCACCTGGGGAGTACAGTAGAGGCAGGGGGGGTGCCAGCTGGGGAGCAAGTGGGCACAGTGCCTGCAAGTCCTCTGAAGCATGGTGACGACCCAGTGACTCAAGGTGGACAGTGTGTGTTTAGCACCAGTGCAGRGCAGAGCTTAGAGAAGGAGCTCACCAACCGGGAGGCAGCTGAGCTGAGAGAGGCCCCAGTTCATAGCACAGAAGCCGGTGGGAAGAACAGTGCAGAAAAGGGTGGGGCTGCGGAGGTGAGGGATGGGGAGCCAGGCCACGCAGAACCCCAGCCCATCCCTGGTGCTCCAGCAGCCAAGGGCAGCCATCAGGAAGCAACAGGCTCAGGTAGGGCCGATGCTGAAGGTGAACTGCTTGCTGCCAAGGAACCAGAGGAAGAGAAGAGTGACCAGCAGGCGGAGGCCTCAGAGTCACCCCAGAAGAAGAATAAGAACAAGAAGAAGAAAAACAAGAAGAAAAGATCACCGGCAGCTGCAGAATCCCTTGAGGGTGTTAAGAAAGAACTGAGCTATCAGGACGCAGAGGTGGGCGAGATTAAGGAAGAAGAGCAGGTGCAGTTTTCTGACAAGAAACGAATAGTGGAACCACAAAATGAGGTGACCCAAAATCCAGAGCAGAAAATTGTGGCAGGAAGCGGGGAGCATGTTGATTGTCCGGGGAATCGTGAAACGGAGTTGAATGGAAAGCTTCAGCACGAGGACGGTGACGTGAAGACCAGGGCAGGGGGAATGTCTCATGGAGGCACGTTGAACCCTGAAGGTGGGACAGTTGAGTCGTCAGGTGCTAGTGCTAGTGATAAAGCATTAGATGAAGATGATGATGCCAAGGCAGCCAGCAGCACCCAGAGCAGTCCTCTAGAACCAGAGAAGGGAGAAGGGGACCGCAGCTCCCCGCTGGAAGACAGCCCCTCAGAGGACACTGATGATGCCTCTCGGGCAGAGAGTGCCCAGAGGCAGGATCCGTCCCCACACCCAGGTCAGGTGGCTGACAAGGCCCAGGACAGCCTGGGTCAAGAAAGCAGTGAGTTGTCAGCAGCAGCAGGGGAGACGGGGGACTCCAGTTCAGAGGGTGGAAGAGAAGCAGAAGGAAGGGAGAAGGGCAAGAGCAAAGAAGACTGCACCATGTCCTAGGGCAGGCTGGCCGCAGATGGGCAGCCGGCGGGCACCAGACCAGGCGTCAGAGACGCCCTCCTCGACCTCACTGGCAACAGTGCGGAACGTCCTACTTGATCTAGGTGTACTGTAGGACAGTGACTCACTTACCACATTAGCTACATTGTTACCTACAGGTTCGTGTTCAATCATTGAGGTTGTCACCCATATTAGGAAGAAAGACATTTGTTTTCAGAGTAAGTTCTGACGGAGAGCTTTCCAGTAGCAGCAAACAGTAAGGTATCCGTACTCTTTTTATATTCTAGCCTGAAGTAAAACTACTTCGCTAGACCCCAGGCCATTATGCATGTAGATGTGGACCAAATATATCAACATCCAATGAAATGACCAAATAGCACTCTTAGATTTCTGCATCATGAATATTGTGCAAATTTAAACTAATACGTCTCATTCAAGTCTGTGTACTTCCATATTTGATTTTAACATGTACATTATCACCTGCATAGTATTTTATTTAACTGAAATAAATGTCCAAATGGCATGTAGGTCACTGAGTGATAAGATACGCACCTCAGGCCGATAATTGATCATTTTAGGGATAACAGTAAATATCTGAAAGCACTAGGGAGGTCTTTTTGTTCTTTACCTCATGTATTTAATTTCATGCCAATACCCTTGGATCGCATTGTCCAGATGACCAAGTTTATTTTGTAGATTTTGACTTCACTTCATGCTTATGAAGTATCAGATTCATTGTATATGAAGATTATTTTTAAAATATTTTTATCAAGAAATATGTTGAAATTGCATTTCCTACTGTGGTATTTAGACAAGGGCAGTCTTAAAATTTTTTAACTTAAAATTACTTCTCTTTCTGTTTGAATGTCTTAGTCATTATTCAAAAGAGCAACACAAAACATTACTTGTTCTAATGCAAACTACTCATTAGATTAAACTAGGATATTTTAAAAAGTTGAATCACTTTTGGTATTTTGGTATAAATATTTTTATTTGTTATCCTCAGTATATTTTTACTGGAATTTTTTGTTTTGATCTGCCTGGAAAATTATATTTTTTCTATATTAAAAAATTTTAAATGATCATAAATTAAGAAAAAAGTAATGGTAAAGTATAAAATCACAAGGGAATGTATATTACGAATGCCATTGACACTTTATAAGATTATTGGAATTTGTATTAACTGTTACAAGATACAATTGAGTACAGAAAGACCAAAACCTCAGTAAATTTGGAGGCGAACCTAAGTGTTACATAACTAAAATAAAAGCATTTTATAATTTAACAAGGCTGTGGTTTAGTCTGTGGGCTCTTTGACCTCTGACCCCGGCTGCTGTTTCACACCGTGACCCTGCTCCTGGCTGCTGACCCCGCAGGGCTCTGAGCCTCTATTCCTCACCGCCTGGCAGTAGTAGGTATGTGCCTTCCCTGGGGCCATCCTGGCACTGGTAGAGAGCCATTCTCTGGACCCCCCAGGTGGGGCCCAGCTGGAGGGTCTCCGTTTAAGCATGCCAACATAGAGTAGTTGGGGAGAATGATCAAAGTGGCCAGTAAACCTGGATCGGTGCTGCTCAAGCGCACGGAAGAAGAGGACAGTGGGTATGATGAATCCTCTCGTGCCATGAACGCACGGAAGTGGGGGACTCGCTGGAGGCTCCAGCCAAGGGCTCTGCAGGATGCAAGGGGCCCTGGTCCACGTCACTGCAGCCAAGCCGCCTGTGTGCTGGAGCTGGAGCGTGTGTGGGAAGGCAGCTCTCGTTTCGACTTTCAGAGGCCCCCCACAACCAGACACTAGAGTAACACCCTCTGGTCTTCTTGAGCTCCGTCCTTTTCCCCCAAGTTCTCCAGCAGCACGTGACATCAGGCACACCACAGGTCCTTGAGCTCACTGTCCAGCCTCTGTCATTCACCTGCTCATTTGTTCATTGACAAGCACACTGGTCACTGAATAGCTGAAGGCACTGGCCAGTGGACAGGCACAGGCTCAGCTGTCTAGTGGGGTGCCGAAGCTGAGAATCAGCAGCAGACAATCAAGGGAGGAGCGTACCACAGCAGAGTCATGTCTTGGTCCTTCCAGTGCCTTGATGCAGACATCAGCTTCTGTGCCCTGTGCATGTGACAGCACCACAGCCCCGCCCCGCCCCTGCTTGTCCTAGGGAGGGCCCTTCAGCCCCCAAGAAGTGATTAACTTAGGCATATTCAATGTCAAGGCAATTTGGAAAGATTCCAGCAATAGAAGGTTCAAACTCAAGAGAATGCAAAGTTCTCTCTCAGCCAGAGGAACTTAGGCTGAACAGAATAGAGAAAAGTGTTCATTCAACAAGATCTTAAAAACCTTGGTTGTGTTTCAGCCCCAAATCAGAAAATACCCATTATATTAAAATGTAAGTCTTCCTTCAAAATTATAGTTATGAGTCTATATAGAAAATAAGAAAGAACAGATTTGGGGCTTTAATTTTGTTATGCAAAGGTTAGAAAGCAGTAGCATTTTTTAAATCATTTTTAAGAATGAACTGTACTGCACTGACTACTTTCTATGATGTTTAGTACTTCTGATTAAAAGAACACCCAATGAACACCCAATGAAACTAACATTCCACTATCACCAGAACCCTGGAAGGCTACTTCTGAGGTTCAGAGGGCTTGGGGTCCCTCTGGTCTGGTCCCTTCCAAGGAGACCCCATGGTGCAGCATGCCACCATGGCCACTGAGCCAAGGGAATCAATAGGAAGATTCCTTCCAAATGCCCAGACCCCTAAACGAAGGGGAGGGAAGCACACGTGTGTGTCAGGTTCAGAATACGTGCTTGTCCTGCCATGATCAGGTCTGTGCCGGCTGTCATGTGCTGTTAGTTGAATCGTGATGCCCCTGGATGGAGAACTAACAACACACAGGCCAAAGGAATGACTGAGGATCCCAGTACTTGTTTGCCTACCCAGGAAGTTTCTAGAAGTCTCTCCCTCTTTGTTCCCCATTCATGGATCTCTAAAATGTGTACCATAAAGTTTGCTGGAGTCATTAATATATTATTAATATGTTAAAAAAAATTTCTTTTTTTTAAAGAGATTTCTTAAAAATGCAATTCTTTAGCAATATCATTAAAATACCTTTACTAGTCTTCTGATTTTAGCTTCCCAGTATAGAAGGAAGCCCTAAAATCAGGACTTGACCTTTTTCTGTGCTTCATTTCTAAATACTTCAGGGGCTGGCTGAGTAGTCTCCAACTGCCTGTGCAGGAGTATTTCTGACCAGCAAGGCTACTTGCTGCATAAATACAGAGTAATCCTGGGTCTTTAGTATTCTGGTTAGGTGTTAACGGTAAGTTTACCACTGATGTGCCATTTCACCAAGCAAGTTACACTTGTTGATTTTTAAAGCTTTGAAAAGTGGTACTTTTATTTTCTCTATATCAAGTTATTTTGCTTTTTTCCGTTTTCTGAAAGCTGTTTAGTTTTCCTTTTGTTCTCCTATTCAGCTTTAAAATTTCTCTTCCTAAAGTTCCTAATAGTCTCACTATAAGACTAAAAGTCAGATCACCTATATTTTTTTCTTTCACTAAGATTACATTTTAAAATTTATTTCCTACTACCTTTCTAAAATTTTAAAGTCTTCTTGGAGACTTCCTAGACTCAAATAATAAAAGATAGTGAAATTATACAATGGATATGTGAGCTTCAGGATCATTTTCAGATGTATTCAGTGTTTTGTATATAGGAGTAAAAAATATGTATGATAAGATGAAAAGTGATATTGGATAAAAGAACCAAGTTTATGACCACGAAAAAATTAATTTCTGTGTTGGATGCATTTATGAAAGGGAAGAAATGAAGTGACTGTAAGACACCATTAGCCTTTAAAATGCATTTCCAGAAAGGATCCTGAATTTATCTTCTGACAAGCTGCTAGAGCAGGGCCTGCCTATGTTGCGGAGTGTGTGCGGGTGCATCCCTGTCAGCATTGGTTCTCCAGATTTTGCCTTTAAGCAGATGTGAACACTCCCAGGTCTTGGTCCCGCTGAACCTGAACGCTGTCGTACCCTCCTGCACAGAGGTGTTGGGGCTACAGACACATTTTGTACACATCCTTATGTGCCTGGTGGGGGTGTGTAAAAACACCAGCCATCCCTACGCTTGCCTTCAAAGAGTAACTGGGTTAGGGCATGTTGTCAGCGTGCTTGGATTTGTAAACAGGGTCAAAACTGTCACTGGTGAGTCTACAAGAGAAACAAGATAGGTACACCCGAGCTGTCAGCTCAGGGAGGAAGGCTGCCGTGGTGCTCCTGTGTCTCCATTCGGGGTGTGTGTTGCCCTGGCAACCTGAAGCGTGAAGCCTGTGAGCTCTTGTGTTGCAGTGTGGTTTGCCTGGCGTTCTTGCATGCTAACCTAAGTAGAAGACTAGCCTGTTTGCATGAGCCGGATGCTGCTCCCAGAAGTGAGTCAGGAGGTGGCGCCTCCCCTGGCTGAGTACCTCCCCGTCCTGCCTGGCCTCATCCACCCTGGTACGTGTGTAACTCTGCCTTCATCATTCATCTCACTAACCCCAACCAGCATCCCCTGGCGAGCCACCGCTGGAGGGCGCCGCGTGCCATTCACCCCAACCTGTGTCTCTCTCCTCTCTTCAGATATTAGGTTGAAAAAGCTCATTGATGAACGGGAATGCCTGCTGGAACAGGTAATGATCTTTTAATTACTTTAGCAGGGCACGTGAAACCACAAGCCTTCCCGTCCTGACATCTAGTGCACTCAGAAAACCCCTAAATACATCACGCCTGAAAAGAACCATAAGCCAAACCTTAGCTTGATTTTGTCCAAACAGAACATCACACGTCACGCGAGTGTCAGGGAGGAGGTCTCAGAGACCTGAGGCCGCTGTGCTGAGCTGGGTATGTCCTAGTGGATTGCTGCTTGAATTGCACATTAGTGTGGAAGGCCCAGGCTAAGTGCTGAGACCAGGCCTTGGTCGCTGCCAGCACCTCTCCTCTCACTGGTGCTTGTCACCACCCATCCGCCTTGTGCCCAGTGATCAGTCCCTTCCGGCAGGTGTTTCTTTGAATGGTTGATCAGCATTGTTAACTGTGATTTATCTTCATTCTCTCTCTGACCTCAAGAAATCCTGGATACTGTCCTTGCCATGTTCAGGACGGTTACTAAATTATTCCACAACACCTTCTAAGGAAACTCAGTTCCTCTAATTTTCCTTCAGAAGCTACTAACCAAATGCATTTGCCTTACTTTTTACAATTCTGTTGAACACTCTTTCAAGACTGGATAAAGCATCTGTGGTGGCAGGAGTCTCAGGGATCCTGTGTTCTTTTAGAAACACCATCTGGTTTGGGGTGTGGCTCAGTGGCAGGCCATGGCCTGTCACGTTCGAGGTCCTGGGATCCATCCCTAGCACCACAAAAAAATAAAGCAATGTGAACTTTTAACACGTATCCACTGTCATTCTGCACCGTGTCCTTGAACCAGCAGGCACCGTGGTCTGTGTTTGGTCAGAGGTGCAGGGAGATGGCTACCCAGAGGATGCCACAGAGGTCAGAAGCGAGCCAGAAAGCAGGGCAAGGCTCGCCACTGGGCACCTGCGCATCCGGCACTCCTCTGCAGCTGCCGATCCCACCTCCTGTTTCTCCCTGCCCAGGAGAGCAGGGCTGTGCAGACACCCACTCCCTGAAGACTGGCAAACACCTCTGCACAACCTGCAGCGTGACTGGGTCCTTGGCACAGCTTGGGGGGATTTAGTTCCTGCACTGCTAGGCCTGGAGACACCAAGTGGCCCTGTCTGGCTTCTTGTGAATAAAGCAAAGGTCAATGGCACACTAACTCACCATCCGTTGGCTGGTTCTTTGGGTGGCTTTATGTACAGCCTCCTCCTGAGTCCCCAAAGAATTTCACCTTCAGAACGACTTTTCATCCAAGTTACAAAACAATTCATGCCAGGTATTGTAAAGAAAGCTCCTTTGCCATTCGTTGTATGTCTA